AACCGGATCTGAAGAAACCACATGGGCTTGGTTGACGTTGGAAGGGGAGCAAATTTGCAAATTGAATTTTAGCAGTTCAGTGGGGATTTCCCACTAAACCAAAACAAGCAAAAATGCAAAATGTTTCCCAACAACAAGCATGCGGGCTTGACTCAAAGCGGAACCCTCATGGGTGGCTTTCCTCAGGTTTCCCGCTGCTCCAAAAGGACACCCCCACCGGCTGTTTGGGACGACCACCTTCGCTGCCCTCGTGGACCGAATTTTTTTCGTCCCCGACGAACATCGTTCCGAAGGACGGGCTGGCCGGGCCGAGGCCTCCCCGAGGTCCAACTCATCCGGCGAGGGCGGCACGTAGTCCTGCATGGGCTCCTGGGAGCCGGCGACCGATTCGATCGCCCTGGCTCGCTTCTCCTACTTACCGTGGTCAGGGGCCCTTGAAAGTAGGGGAACCCCCCCAAAAAAAGCCGGGGAACCCTCTTGGGGCGCTAACAGGCCCTATTAGTCGCTATTAGCCCCCATTGGGATTGGGGGAAGCCAGAAGCCAGAAGCTGCTAGACCGCTTCAATCGCCTGCCCCCTGTTTTCTTTTCCTACCCAAATGCTCCCGATTTGTTTTTTGCCGGGGGCCTTCAAACAGCCAGGTTTTGAGACCCAAACACCAGTTGGCGAGGGTGTCTTGTGGAGGCGTCTGGGTCTTCTATTGAGCCGGGAGAGAAAAGAAAACAGACAAGGGACATTTGGGGGGATTCAAGGTTCTAACATCGCAGAAAAAGATCAGGGTGTCGAACCAGACTGGTAGCATGGCCATTTGGGGTAAGGACCTTACACATCTACATAGTGCATATGGCATGTATCTCTATCTGTTATACATTTGAGTGAATTGCAATGATTCAACCTTCAAACAAACGTCAAACGGACGCTTACGTCAGTTTAAACTAATGGTTGGCTTACATGTCAGCAATGGTTCGCCAACCTAAACTCAATCCCCAAGAAAGGGTTCGATAATTGGTCGCTGAAACTTGCCAAGAACCGAATTGCCGTTTTGGCAGTTCTAAGATGGCGCATGGGTACACCTGGCAATGGTTCCCTCGGCTTCACAATCGTTCTCTTCGAAAACGCATGCTCAACTTCCGTGTTTTCGTTCACCATATCACATGCTTTTTGTTCCTACGAGGCTCACGCCCCAAGGACCACACCACAAACAGGTCTCTGTGAAACGACGAAGAGCAGCTTCATCAACATTGGCCCGGTCAGGCTCTTCAAGCCCAATCCTCCAAACCCTCATAGGACCTCTGATGAGGGGATCTCTTTGGATTTCTGGCTTCTATCAAGTTGGTGATAGCTGATGCAAGCCAACAGGGTTCTCCTCTCAACCCTCCTCTGCTTGTTGGAAAAAGTCAGGTGGCCGTTTAACAATTCCTCATATCCTGTGAGCCCTCGGTGTTTCGGGGGGAAGAACTTGTCACTGGTAAATGCGTTGAACGAAACTGAAACCAGTCGAATTCCAATCCTGGTTGCTCCATGCAACCTACGCGTGTTTGTCTTGGGTGACTAGGCTTCCCCAAAGCCTCACCCTTCGGGTTCCCAGGAAGGCAAGTTGAGTCTCCACCTGGCTCGAGCTGGGTCTCAAAATAGAGCCGCCAAAATGCCATTTCTTTCCCCAAGAGAATCTCAAACAAAGCATGGGCATACCTACATATACGTTGGTCATGAGTGGTTTTTCGGGGAGGTTCCATCCAATTCGCGAAGGCTTCGATCGACCACCGCGCTCCAGTCTGCCGCGCATGCCGAAGACGCCGCCCGCACGGCGCACGTCTGAGAGCTCCCAACACACCTGGAGATCTGAAGTCCACCATAGCGCCCGAAACCCGTTGAATTCCAAGCTGCCTTATGGGTCCGTGTTTGTTTTGAGGGTACCCATTCTTGTTTTGGGGGGGGGGGGTTCAGGTCAAACCAACAGGACCACATTTTTGGAGAGGTCGCCTAAGAAAAGACACATCCATATAGGATTGAATGGGTTGTCAAAAAATCGGGAAACGCTCAAAACAGGTTGAAAGTCTTGAGCGCAGCATATTATCAGGGACTCCCACCAGTCTAGGGGTTGATTCCCCATTCATTTCAACCATTGTTCTTTTCAAAAACCAGCTGTTTCCCCTGGGGTTCTGATGGTTTTCTGAAAAGAAGGATCCCTGGCAAGAATGGGGAAGTGTCCCCTAGAACCAGTGGTGTGTGTTGCTTTTCTGGACTTTCTAATTGAAACAAGAGGGAGGGTTTCACAATGCAAACAAGACCCAGATTGCAAGTACAATTCGGGTTGCATACTCGATCGCTAGCCAATCCGCCACTAGTAAGATAGCCTGGGACTATATGCCCTACTGATGTGAGTCCCCATCTCATATGGTTTCTCGACACGCTTTTCATCAGGCCGATTGGGGGCGTCTGACCCATTGGACACCACCAACTCAGTCTGTGGAAAACAAAACCATCGATCTGAAAAACGCGGGCACATTGCGAATATCGAAGCTGACCTCGGGCATGTCAAACAAGCGTTTCAGAGGACCACCTACTAGAGTTCAGGCACATGAAACCAGGAATCCGGGAAATCCCCGAGCAAAGGGCGTTCATCATGAGTGAGAGCTCTCAAACCGCCTTGTGAAATTGTGCGGGGTCGCTTTCACTTTCTCAGAAGGTTGCCCAAAGAATAAGAAGCTATGACATGCTGTAACCACGACCTAAACTGACAAGGAGATTCGGCAGAGGTACATATAAGCCTCAAACAATGTCCACCCCTCTCTGGGACATTCCCACTGAATATCTATGACCAAAGAAGACACTTGGCGAACTGTATTCACTTCCGAAGTGGCATGCTATCAGGCAAAGCACCCTTTCTGACTTCGATGGACACACACAAACTACATGTTTTCAGACGTACCTGGCACGCGCGGGGAAAAACAAACAAACATATTAACATGTGTTGAAGGAATGTGATTTTTGGTGGGACGTTCTTGAACATGTTATTCACATATATTGGAGGCATCTCCTTTTGTAAGACGTTCGTTGGGGGTGTAGCTCCATGCCTCGTTGCTGTGGCCTTCGCCCTCCAGCTGGATGGTGACGTCCTGTGATAGAATCGCCGCGGGTCCGTGAGGATCGCATGCTACAGTATACGTATATATATATATATATACGTATCATGTGTATACACATAGGTACATGTATTGCCTGGTCACACTCAAATAGATAAATAAAACACAAATAACATGCAGACATTATTCATGAAATACGTGGCTATATCTGTGTGTGTATATACGCATGTAGAATATACCTATGCATGCATGTATGTGTATATATATATACATAATATGTATGTATGTATGTATGTATGTAGGTAGGTAGGTAGGTAGGTAGGTATGTAGGTATGTGGCTATGTAGGTATGTAGGTATGCATGTAGGTATGTATGTAGGTATGCAGGTATGTAGGTATGTAGGTATGTAGATATGTAGGTAAGTAGGTAAGTAGGTATGTAGGTATGTAGGTATGTAGGTAGTTATGTATGCATGTATGTATGTAGGTAAGTAGGTAGGTAGGTAGGTAGGTAGGTAGGTATGTAGGTATGTTGGTACGTAGGTACGTATGTAGGTATGTAGGTATGTAGGTACGTAGGTGTGTAGATATGTAGGTACGTAGGTATGTAGGTACGTAGGTATGTAGGTATGTAGGTATGCAGGTATGTAGGTGTGTAGGTATGTAGGTATGTAGGTATGCAGGTACTGTGGATGGACGAAATCCTGCACCACTTTGAAACCATAAGAAACCATTGTTCGTTGCTATTTACAAGGAAAACAGAATTCCAGGGTTTCGTAGGTGGTGCAGGATTTCGTCCATCCACAGTATGTAGGTATGTAGGTATGTAGGTATGTATGTGTGTATGTATGTATGTATGTATGTATGTATGTATGTAGGTAGGTAGGTAGGTATGTATGTATGTGTGTATGTAGAAACGGAAGTAGCTAGGTATGTAGGTATGTAGGTATGTAGGTATGTAGGTATGTAGGTATGTAGGTATGTAGGTACGTATGTGTGTATGTATGTATGTAAGTAGGTAAGTAGGTAGGTACGTAGGTAAATAGATATGTAGGTATGTAGGTATGTAGGTATGTAGGTAGGTACGTATGTAGGTATGTAGGTATGTAGGTATGCAGGTATGGAGGTATGTAGATATGTAGATATGTAGGTACGTAGGTATGTAGGTATGTAGGTATGCAGGTATGCAGGTATGCAGGTATGTAGGTATGTAGGTATGTAGGTATGTAGGTATGTATGTATGTACGTGTGTATGTAGCTAGGGAAGTAGCTAGGTATGTAGGTATGTAGGTATGTAGGTATGTAGGTATGTAGGTATGTATGTGTGTGTGTGTATGTATGTAGCATCGCTATGCCAATTTTGCTTCTGTAATATTGGATATGTTTATTCAGTATGTGTTACGTAGTTGTGTCTTATGTGTTATTAATAGTATGATTATGACTGCTTGGCATTCGTAGTACTACTTGTAATATTGTCCATACTATTACATCATTGTTGTTGTGGTACATTCAACATTAAATCGAACCTCTGGTGGACGTCATTTACATGGGGACCCTCTGCTAGAGGGAGACTGCCTAGGTCCAAATAGAGCGAGCGAGCGCTTGGTATCCGTACAATACCCAACATAGTTGGTCACCTTTTGGCTTCCCTTCAAAACCAAGCTGAAAGCAAAATATATTGATCTCCTTTGGTTTCCCTTGAAAACCAAGGTGAAAGGGGTACACTCAGAACAAGCATACACCCCTATGTATCCGTCATGCTTGCGGATTCTGGTGCCAAAGGTAGCAGCTCCACCCCAGTCCTCGAAGGGATTTCCCAATGTGCGAATGCCCAGATCCGCCTTGACCTGGCGTCATCGGATCGGAAACTGATCAAACAGCATCTCGGCAAAGCGAAACTTCTTGAACGTTGCTTTCCGGAAGGCTGAAAGCCTGGAATTCTCAGAAAAAAGCTGATTCCGTGTTAACGTCAAAATTGGAAAAAAAAAGTCGAAACCACAAGAGAACGCACCCGGCACCCCCTTGGGAACGTCAATGCCATGAGTGTACTAGAGGCCATGGCCCAGCAGCAGGGGCTGAGACCTGAGTTTGCTCAAAAGCTTCTCGGGAAAGCATTCACCCAGGGCTCAAATGATACTTTGGATGGTTACGACATCCGTTCGCACCACTTTGAAACCATGGCTGAAACCATAATGTTTGTTGGTACTTGCAGGAGAATGATCATTCCAGGATTTCTTAGGTGGTGCAGCATTTCGTCCATCCACAGTATCTCACAAACATTGCTTCCTTGAAAGGGACACCCCTTCCACATGCTCATGAATCCCTGAGAACATGAAAGAAGGTGGAGCCACGACAAATGCTGGAACCAGAATGCTAAATCCTGGCCAGGTGACAACTTCACGGTTGATCCCAACTCCCACCTTTTGGGTAGAAACACTTTCGTGAGCAAAACAGATCTTGAAGCTCTCGAAGGCTGCCACCAGAAACCTGAAACCACCACGTTTCTAGTTGCGGCTTCCCAAATGCATGGTCCATCAAGGTCTGTTCATGGGAACTGCTTGTTTCGGAAACCACCATTGAATTTGTAAATGGTTGTTGTCACACACGTCCCGGGCATGTCCTCTCCAGTGCTTCCAGGCAAGCCACGATAGTGGGTACAAACAAAAGCATGGGTGGTTGGTTGAGGCTATATACCCTTGGAGTGTTTAAAGGGAAACCAAAAGGAACGCTGGCATCCTGGGGATTTCCATTTTTAACCACTGTTCCCTGTACGCAAGGAAACATATTGTTGGGAAGGGTTTCTTGTTCCGGGAGTACTCTGGCCTTTGGATTCATCAAGCATATTAAAAGTCGCATGTTCGTGACCACGCCTTGCCGATGGCATGCGGGTGGAATCGCACCTGCGCGTCTTCAGGCATGCATCGCCGCACCACCGAAAGGCCGCACATTGGCCAAACATATGAAGATATGGGCGTGGAATTGCTTTAGTGGACCCATGTTGCGGGGTTGTTTCACTGCTGATGTCCCTTTTAACAACAAAAAACACAAGCAAGCAAGGGGTACCCTCAAACAACGACACATTCATATCAATATGGCCATGGTATTGTTGCAATTTTGCTTTCTATGTCAAGATGTGCACGGGCACATGAACAGTTTATCGGGCATCAGGCAGCGACCCCGATGTGCCACCAAAACAGATACCAGCAGCTAGGGTCAAGCAAACATCAGGCACAAACCAAAATAGGGCTTCTCCGTGACTGCCCTTTACGTCCTGTACGTCCGTTGAACACGGGCAACGCTCCAGTGCCAATTGCGGGCTCCACATGAACCCTTGTCCCGATCAACTCGTGGCCATGCTACCTGCAGTGCCCGCCGTAGCGCTTGCGATAACTCATTCCATAAAACTCATCCAAGAACATCATGCTTGCTGAAAGAAGCCCATTGAGATTGGTTCTGTTTGGCAATCACTTGAACAGTGCTTTGTCGGCCCATCATGCAACTCGATCCTGTTTAAGCGGAAAGCAACGCACCACGTGTTTTGTCGACCCTTAATGCAACTCCTGTCAAAGCGGAAAGCAACGCAACACTAGCGAACATGGTCAGCAGGCCGAGAGACGTCCACTCAAAACCTCCTCACTTATGTGTTCAACATGATGCATACTTTCTTGTTGCTTTGTTTGGATTAAAAAAACCTTGTCATCCGTGACTAGAAGCAACGCAACAGGCGGATCTGCCTCACCTTTACAGCCTTTGAGAGCTTGGCATGGGAAATCATAAAACCGCTCCCGGGTCTCAACCACACTCTCCAAACATTTTCATAAAGGACCTGGCTTTCCTGAAAGCCAACCCCGAAAAAGGGTACGCGCAAACAAAACAGCCTCATAGACCACATGGCTGTGGCTCAAAAAACCGGTGCTAAAATGGAACCCTGGTGAGTAAAAACATGGACCAAAACCTGCGTAACCCCTCCTGTTTGATTTTGAGCCACACCCACATGTCAGTCTTTCCAAGTTAGGGTGACCAAACACTCTGGCCTGAAAGCTCCGGGACTCGCCCTTGTTCAGCGACACCTGCGAGCGCGAAGAAGCCAGTCTCCCCAAACACAGAGGTCCCAGTTGCCAGTGACACAAAAAAACGGAAAGGTTTCTACCCTAGCAACTACCTAAAGTCTCCTTCTGAGCCTTTAAATCTGGGGTCATGACGCCTTCATTTTGGGTAATGACCCCCATTTTAAAGGGTCGTGGAGACTCCAGGTACCTGTTCTCAAAAGAAACACCCTATAGAGGCTCAATATAAGGAAGCCTTCCGAGGGGTGGCTTTTCCTCTTCAAAGCTCTGCTTTGAATACCCAGCAACTTTAGGCTTTACCAACATTTTTCAGAACGTGTATGCAGGTTGTCCAAGAACCCGCAACCCTTGCGGCAAGCCAAAATGCAGGGCACGCAACATACAGTACGACATTCAAGGGAAAGGCTACAAGGCGCTTTGAAGTTGCGGGCATTGAACGACGAAGAGGTTGTGCGGTTGAGCTCCTAGGTGCTATCCCGAACATAGATCTTTCATCCCCCCAAGCCTGAAGCCATGTGTTCAGGACAACGGTTTCTTTTTGCGCGTGCCTATGATTTTGAGCCTGGCCCCATCTGGCTTGTGCATATTGGAATGACCACCTATACAAGAAGCCTTGCCTGCCCATATCATGACTGGAAATACAAGGCTACCCTTTTTCAATCTTCACCGGACCAACCTTGACCGAACCAAAGGTTAAAAGGCCGATTTGCTTTGGGCAGTCGAGCTTGGCGAACCAATCGTATCATCTCAAGTCAACTCGGGCTTCATCTGAAAGGTCCTTCACGTTAATTTTCCTCTCAGGGACCGGTTGTGGGAGGCAGTGGATTCGGGTGTGTTCTTTTCCTCTGTTCTGTTTGGTCGGTTGTAAAAAAAAAAACAAAACAGGTCCTCCCACCGCCTTTTTGCGGCTCTAATTTGTTAAAAAAGAAACAAAACAGGACCCGCCCCGCCGACTTCCTCCTGCCCGCGCCCCTTTAAGCGAGTTCCGGCCGCCGCGGCTACCTCCCTCGGTTGCTTTTAGTTCCCCTGCTAAAAGTTTAGAACTTTTAGCGGTTTAATTCGGAAAACCCATTCGTTGGCAAAAAGTTGAAGTCCTAACATACCAGCAAAAAGCACCTCTGTTTGCTTTCCCTTTAACACAACAAGAAGACAGTGGCGCTCTCGAAAAGGCACACCGCAACCTGCAAATAGTCCCAAGTCCTATGCCAGCAAAATGCATCTCTGCTCAGAGGCTCTGGCGCTGGAGGGGCAGGCCACCGTGAAGTTCTGCGAGTGGGCGAAGTCCACCCGAACCTCGCACCGAAATCGGACCGGTCGGATCGCTCGGAGGGCTCGGACGAAGAGCCAAAGCCGAAGGTGATGAAACCAAATAGACGACTTTTTGTTCTGAGGAGCACCGAAAAGAAAGGAGCCGGTTTTCTGAGGATCAGAATTTTGCGACCGAAATGAAACAACACATACAGTGAAATGTCCTGAGGATCAGAATTGCGCGACCGAAATGAAATAAATACACCAGTTATTTCCTGAGGATCCAGCGTGAGGCAACAATACATCAGTTATTTCCTGAGGATCCACTGGAAATACCACCAAAACAAAACACACACTACACCAGCTATTTCCTGAGGATCCAATTGAATTACGATCAGAATGAAACAACATACCCTGAAAAGGGTACCAACTCAAACACAACACACATCATCACACATCACATCAACTTGAACCCAGAAGGTACCTTCCCGGCTGCTCTGCTCCAAAGACCCAACCAGGGTTCAAATTTGGCCCTCAAGCACCCTGTGAAATCCTCGGGGTCCAAATTTGACGGCGGGAGACACCCAAATCCCAGATTTAGGGATGGAGCCCGGCGCCAAGCCCTTCGCACCCAACAAAACGGGCCTGACAGAACCCCGCAGAAATACAGGCGAATTGCGCGGGCCGCAGGTGAAATTCGACTGAGACAAGCAATCGATGTGGGAGTGTCAAACAAATGATAGGAAGTCGATGTGGTTTAGAAACCATTCCCAAAAGGTCGCAAGCCTCTCTTGTGAGGTTTGTATTTCCCTTAAAACCCCCAAAGCATGGCACCCAGCCGTCACCCGAGTTCCCCCATGAGAAGGCGAGGGCCGAGCCGTTGCCGGCAGCAGCCCATCGTTGCGGAGGGCCATCTGCACCTCGTTCCTCCTGCGGCGCGGACCGCGAAAGTGGCAGGAGTCGTTGGACTTCGACTGGGCAAGCTGCATTCATATTGACTTCATATTCATAAACCCCTGGTTTATTCATATGGTCATGGGTCAAAATCCAAATCGTAACCCCAACGAACATCCCAATCTCCACTAACATAGACTAAAATGGGTGCTGCACCTACCCAAAATGGTACCATTGGTTTTTACCATGTTGACATATGGATATGGGTCAAAATTAAACCACCTGGGAGACCGCAGGTTTTAGTCCATGTTTCCATTCACCAGGTTCCATTTGGGGTGCCTGTTTTTGACCCATCCATATTCATAAACCCCTGGTTTATTCATATGGGAACGTTCCCCTCTAAAAGTGATGACCCCCACTACACCCAGAGACACCCCCGCATAGATACGCAGGGGGTTGTTACTCCTGGGTTGACAGTGCAGGGCTCACCGGATTTCCCCAAGTCACAAGTTGCAATTGACGGCCGGTTTCCATTGAACCGATCGCCACTTTTGGAGGTTCCAAACAAGAAAATGGAGGGAACCCTGCATTGCTGTGTCCACGGTTGGACAGGGCAAGCCACTTCCACCGTGTTCCAGGAGCCTCACCCAAAAAGAGGGGACAAAAACCATAGAGAACACCCCCCCCAAAAAAAAAACGTTTCCCTTTGACTTTCCCTTGTCAAGGACCTCTGTGACCTCAAAGAGCGTCCTGTCGAAGGCCGCTTCAATGGGAACAACACCTGCGTAAAATCAGAGCGAAATGAGACCGCCCAAACCCCAAACCAATCCCAAGGCCTGGAATTTTTGTCATTTAGTCCTGAAGAGCGCCAGCTTGCCCATGTCCAGTTCTCCGCCCTCGTCCCCAAAGAGCCGTGGGCCCTGGAAGTCGAAAGTGGAGCGCGCCGCGGATTTCTTGAGGTGCCAAAGCGCTCGAGTCCCCAAATGTTCTTTCAACGTTATCTGATGATTACCTCCCCCTGAAATGAGGCTCCCCCCGAAATGAGGCTCCCACACGAACCTGCAGGCACGAACTCAAATAGATGTGTCTTACCCTTTCTTCGGGTTGGTTTAAAGGGAAACCACAGCGCCACCACCTGTTCCCCTGCAAATCACAGGGAAACCACAGGAGGGACACCACAGGAGGGAAAATACTGGAAACTAGGGAAACCACATTTTGCCTATCCAACCCTCGTGTTGGCAAAACACAGCGCGGACTCCGCCTGCAAAGAGACGGAGGGCACGGCCCCATCACCCCGGAGCTCGAAGGAGAGGTAGTTGCTGCTGGGGTCCGTGCCTGGAGACGAATGCGTCGTCTCAAACATGAGATTGGCGGTTTATGCCAAATAAAGAATTCATCCCAACTGGTGCAGGATGTTGTCCTTCAACTGGAAATATGCCGAGTAAGCGTGGCAAAAGCGTGCGAACCACAAGTGGTTCAACCGGACATGAGTGGCTTCCCTGTGGGTCCTCAAAAGGCAGTTCATAAAGAAACCCGTCAACATGAGGGCACCCCAAACAAAGTGGTTTTCCCGTTGGCTTTCCTCAAAACAAACAAACACAGGTATACCTTCAAGCCACACACAAACACATATATGGTCCTCAAAATCCTGGAGCCCTCTTCCCAGTTGTTCAGTGACTCTGAAAAAAAAAGAGAATTGGAACCCTTTGTGGCGAAGACCATTTTTAGTGGGGCCACCAAAAAAAAAGTGGAAACAACAATTGGGGCCACTGAACAACTGAGGAGGTCATTGGTTTCCCTTTAACCCACCACTTAGGGCTGACTTTGATCATGGCAAAATCATGAGGCCACTCTTGACTTGTGCAACACTCGGCATACTGTGAATGGACACATTTCTGCACCGGATGCTCTGTCATTTGTCTCAGTGGAACAACCGAGTCTTGTGAATCTCAGTTGTTCAGTGACCCTGGAAAAAAAGGGAACCCTTTTTGGGGAAGACCATTTTTAGTGGGGCAGCCACAACAAAAAAAGGAAAAGAATTGGTGCCACTGAACAACTGAGGAATGGTTCTCCAGATCTCCAGTTGGAACGCCGAGCCGAGTCCGAGCCATCGGAGCCTTGAGGCACCACCGCCTCCAGCACCGCCCCGAAGCTCGCCAGGTGGTTGGGCGTGAACTTCACCTGCGCGATGCGCGGACGCGGGCTTGAAGCTTCCATAGCCTGTAGAAGCCCCCTGGGAAAAACAAAAAGCAGCAAAAAACGGTAGAGTGAAATTGATCCCCTTGAAAAGCAACAGGGGCAACTAACAAATATTCATTTCATGCCGTTTGCGCCCCTTCGAACCCAGCTGAGCCATGGGCAAATTTTCTTTGGCAGTGGCGCAGAATAAAAACGGCGCGGCGCTGTTGGCATGGGATACGCGCGACTAAAGCGCCACTATATGGCCAGATGACATGACCAGGCTTCATAAAGTTTGAACATGTACTTGATCCAACTGACAATCCCGCTGACACTGAAAGTCCACAGGCAGGTGCTGGCCAGCGTCGCCATGGCGACACTAGGCACTGTCCCACTGTCTGGTTGCATTGGGCCGTGTGTCGCCGCGCAAACGTCAATAGGAACCATTAGAATTGTTCTTAAGGATCCGAACTGCCAGTTGGATGACCATTCCTGTCAACCCCAAGCAAAGTGGCCTGTTGACCATGGCAGGTGTAAAGGCCACCCTCAAAACCACGCGCACAGACATGGGGAGTTGATTGGGCCAACTCGGCCAGTCGATTTGTCGAAAAGGTTGGACCGCTGAGGGTCCCTTGGTTCTAAACCTTTACGGAGTTGGTACTTTTGTTCGTGGTTTTCAAGGGGAACCAAAACGGACCAACACATCTTGGGGATCCCCTAAAAAAGACACACCTATTTGACGGCAAGAAAGACATCGCGGAAACCCCTTAAGGGGCTCTTGCGCGCAAGATAAAGAGAAGTCCGGAGGCCGAGTTTGGCACGTCGCAACCGGCCGACTGCAAAATCCTTGCCTGGATCTGCCGTGAGTCGTGAGGAGAGATGACCAGCTCTTGAGGGAACACCTGGCCAGCGCTTGGGGATACAGGAAATTGGGGGGAACGCCCACCAAAAGCAAGTTGATGTCCTGCATAATTGTGCGTAGCTGGCTTCTCTGCCCTGGTTTCCTCCAAGTAAGACCCGGTCGGAAGCTTAAGGCCTTGGGGAAGGGTGGGTGGAGGGAAGGGGGGTGCATCCTATGACTCTAACCGATCCCAAGAAAAATCCACTACCTAAGTTGCTACCTCACATTTCAATGAGGCAGTCTCAAAAGCATTTCTGGGTGCCTCAAACTGCAGCCAGGCTGCACCGACTTCTATGTCATCAACATCGTACTTAGTACTTTGTCCTTCCAGTACAGGCCTTCACAACGCAAAACTCAAGTGAATGCCTGCATTCTCGAAGAAACAAAGTCATATTACTCAAATAGATACCACAACAAGCGCGCTACTCAGTGAGATCAAGTTGCTTTCATGCAGGTGCGCGAGCTATGAACTATTGCAAACCCCATTGGAAGGCAAGCCGTCTCAGTGCTGGCCTGTGGTTCATGGGCGTCTGACTTTAGACGGCTTCTTCTTCTCCAAATGCAAGCGTCTTGTTCACAGCAGACTGTGGCTGTGAGGTGAATGTTGAATGTTCGGACTGGTTTGGTGCCCTTGATTCCTAACCTGCTGCAAGCAAACCACCCATATGCCATAGCACATTGCGGGGCTTCCCTGGCTACCTACGCAAACAGAAAGGAGGTTCCTCTGTGGTCTCCCTTCAAACAATCGAGAAAAAAAAAAAATACATTTCTATACTCGCCGGTCCGTGACCTAGTTGGTAGGGCGGAAGCAAAGAGCAAGCAAGTACAGGTTTGGCAACATGTTCTCCTTCAAACAACACCTCAAACCCTCAGTGGCCAAGGGAAACAAAAGGGTGCTCCTTTTCGCTACGAGTATTCAAAAGGGACAAATCCCCTAAGGAGATTTGATGGTACTTTCACGGGGCCAGCCCGCCCTCAAATATTGGAAGAAAAGAAAGCAACCGTCTCAGCCCCTAACAACGAAGTTTTGCAATTACCCCCCCCCCCCCCAAAAAAAAAAAAAAAGCGGGGAACAGGAGGCAGCTGGCGTTCTTGGCCTCCCCGAACCGCATTCAATTCGATTCGCCTCGAAGGCATCGCTGGATCCAGCCTCGAGGCAGGCTCATGAACCCCGGCAAAATTCGGCTCAAGATGAGGAAGGCCGCAAGAAACATGCCACTGGAGAACGTCATGCAGTGTTGAAGGCCGACAGGTGCAACTCAAGGACACAGTGCCAGTGGCACTATGGGCCCTTTAACACCGAAGCTAAACCGATATATGTCACATCACAATTCGATACCCAAATCCGACATGTCCGCTGTGAATATGTGGGTGGGTGGGTGAGTTGGTTGGTTCCAGAAGATAAAATATCATTGTGGGAAGCCGACTTGGTTGGTGTGAACAGCTTTCTTTGTTGAAGCTTTCATGTTATCTCCATGCCTGTTTTTTTGGTTTTCCGGGGGGGGGGGGGAGAGGCTGCAGCGCGGGTCAATCCTCTGCCGGCCAAGCTGGGACGTTTTATGGGTAAGGTCTGAGAGCACCGGAGAGCTCGAGTCTCACTCTCCAGTCGGTGTTAGGAGCACCGAACACGCCGTATGCTTTCCAAAGCGAATCCTGTTCAAGTCAGCTGGTCATTTGGCCGTGAATTTGAATGGGGAAGTTCTGGGGGGACAGGCCCAATGTAAAGCGTGTCCACCAAAGGCTCCCAATCTCAATGCCCGTTTCTGCGGCCGCAAGCTCGGAAACGAACCTGAAGCTTTCTTGGGAGTGCTTTTGGGCTGGTATGATTGTGATTCATCCAGCTTATCTGCCTAATGTCAAAGTTTCCCCTTACCAAACATTACAAACTTAGCTGGAGGCAGAAACAACGCATTATGAGGGGGAACAAACACCCACCCACCCAACCAACCAACCACCCACCCACCCAACCGACCAGCCAACCAACCAAACCACCCACCCATCAACCAACCATGTATGCTTTCCCTTTCTTCTTTCCGGCCTTGCAACCAACCCCCCAAACAAAGAAAAAATAAATAATTCTAAAAAAAGAAGAACAAAAAGACCCCCCTGGCCCGTTCAAACGCGTTGGGGCTTCACCGGGTAAGTTGAGCCCCGCGCCACATCGCTGCCCTCCCGAGGCTTGATGGAGAGCTGCACCTGGAGCAACGACTCCTCTCACACGAACTGCCATACACCACTTGAAAACCATGGGACACCGTAATTTATTGGTATTTACAGGGGAATCATCATTCGTTTCTTAGGTGGTGCGAAATGGATTTCGTCCATCCACAGTACTGTGGATTGGGAATCCTCATTTCGCAGCTAAGAAACCATGGTTCACACCATAACGTGCGTTGGTATTTACAGGAGAATCAACAGAAACCAGGGTTTCTGAACGGTGGCGCTAAATGGAGTTCGTTCATCCACAGTAGGTGGCCTTTTGGAAAATAGATGGCCCTGGTAAATGGAACAAAACCCATCTAAACCAGTGCCATCTATTTCTAACCAAACCTAAAAAGGACGCCGATTCCAACAGCCGGAAGCTCCCTCAATTGGCCTCTGTAAACGTACGTACCCGTTCGAAATTTGGGTTGAGTGATCCGGTGCTTCTAGGCGTTTCGTCACTATAGTAGGTCAAGTAGGTCTGGCTACGAGGTGTTACATGGGTTCCTCCTGGTCACCTACTGTGGTAACTGGAAGCACTGGGGGAGATACCAATCAAAGTGACATCCCCCAAAATTCAGAAAACCCTTCACTTGCTGGTGCGATAGGCAGGGAAAGAGAAATGGAATGAACCCTTTTGGGGATTCCCGGAATAAAGCACACCGGTTGCATGGCTTAAATGCGGCTCATCCCATTTCTCCTTCCCCGAGATTTCCCAAACCGACCGCCAAAAAAAACCCTTCCCTGAGGCTCGGCGGCCTCTGATGGCGGTTGCTTAGGGAAACCAAAGGACACCGAGCCAATTTTTGTAAGGTCCTACAAGGGGCAATCAAACCAAGGGAATTTCCCCTGACCACTGCTTTTTGGGACAGGTTTTTTGGACTTAGGATAGGGAAAAAGCAGTTGATTCGTGTCTGTTTTTAGGGGACCCCCAAAATGGTTGGGTTTCTTCTGGCTTTCCCTTTCAGACCAAACAAAGAGTGGTTCTTAAATAAAAAAAGACACACCCAGTTGTTTTGTTGTTTATTTGGGAGGGGCAAGCGGGGGGGGGTGCTGGACAGGGGCAAATTGTGTGATTCTTCTCAGAAGGCACAAGTAAAAACAATCTCCCATCATATACCAATCGGTTTTAGAATTACACTTTGAGGTTGTTTAAAGGGAGTCCGAAGGGAACCTCTCCCTATTTTCAAGGTCCGCCATTTGAGACAAACCCATGTAGCAGCCGACCGGAGATGACCCCCAGTCGGCTTTTTGTCAAGCCCCACAGATCGCCGACTTGAAAGATGGGAGCGCGTCAAGTTGCAGCGCCGAAATCGAGCTGTTCAGCCACTTGGATCAGATGTTGGAGCCAGGCTTCGGGGCCCCGCTCAACCCCTCAAGGAGCTCGACCCCGCCCCGTTGCGGCTCCCTCAAAGGCTGACGCAAGGCTCGATCTACCCCAAAGCTTCGGGCAGGAGAGAAACATCTGGCTGGATCCCCAATTTCCCTGGGCAAAGCATGGGGGGAAGCCCACTACAAGCATGCAAGTACAAAACAACAAGTCTATGGGGAAGGATCTCAGGGCAACCCCTGCCATGACTTGGGCAGGGGCTGGGACGGTCAGTGGACAAGTTGCGCCAGTGGCGGGGGCGGGTGCACCCAACAACGTTTTATTGCTTGGAGTTGGGTTACTTCAAACAGGGTCGCCAGTCCTTCGCACAACAGAAATGCAGCTCTTGGTAAGGAAATCCCCAAAAAACAAAACCCTATCCCAGATTGTCATAGAGGACCTGAGAATAGGCTGCTTAATGCTCTTTGATCGGTATAGAAAAGGCTTGTGGGCAACAGCCTCCTTCAATCCTGGCGAACACCATTCCATAGGGCTGATCATTCCCCCCGTCCCACCAGAATGGTTCTTGGGACCCCTGCAAGATTTCTTCCTGGCTGGGTCTCCTAATTCAAATCCCAACAAACATGGGGTCTTCTGTGAGGCTCAGCTCCTTTATCGTTCTAAACGGAAAGAAGGAAACCCGATGTTTTCTCGATTGCTTTCTGCTCCCCAGCTTTTAGTGGTTTAATGGAAAACCCGTTCGTTGGCAAAAAGTTCCAGTCCTAACATCCAAGCAAAACACCCGTCTGCTTTCCTTATTTCTTTGTGGGGGGGGGGAAGCTTGTGAACTCGGAGGGGGGGGGTCCGATTCCCAAGAGGGCACCCCCGCATCCGCCACACCGCGAAAGGCGCTTCCCGGACGCGCCTTGCAAGGCACCGCCTTGGGGTTGGTGAGCCGCAGATTCTCCGTGACGCCGAACTCTGGGGGCCTCGCAGTCGCTCGTGGCAATCCCAGGTCCTCCAGTAGAGAGGTTAGAAGAAGGGTACCCTTTTTTTCTGTACCTGGAGTCTCCATGACCCTTAAAAAATGGGGTCATTACCCAAAATTAAAGGGTCATGGACCCATCTTTTAGGGGTCATGGAGACTCTAGGTAGTCAATTTTAGTAGGGGAACCCTCCCCCCAAAAAGTTGGTAAAAGGGCACTGCTGGGGGACCTAGGATCGATGATGCCCAAAGAAGGGGGGCACACAAAAATCCAGGGTCTGGAAACATGAGTCCCAATATCCCGCCCTGCTGCCCACTTCGGTCTCTTGCCGAAAATAAGATATGGGCTATTGGGACCAAAGGGGGTGGGATATGCAACTACTAGCCACTATATGAGGTCAGCCCAGTTTTCTCGAAGTGGAAACCATCTTGGACCAAAGGCGATTCCCCATTGAACACCACCTCCGAGGAGATAAACAAAAGGTTGAGATTTGCTCCGGTTGAACAAACGGTTCGTGATTCAAATTGATGTCTGGTTTCCCTACATCCAAAACCAGGTCCCCCGTTTCCCCGGGGCTTTCAAGGGCTAACCTTTCTATGCTCCTTTCGGGGCGGCAGAAAGAGCCCTACCTCTCCCTCGGCCAAAAAAAGTCTGTGTTTTGTGTTTGGCACCAACAAGGTCTTCCCAAGAAGTGGCCAAAGCTCCGAGCCGGAACTCAGGGAGTGAGCTCTGGCGTGGGAATCCTCGCAGCTCCACTCCCCGGCTTGTCACTTAAAACGGAGACCTGTGCAGCAAAGCCTGGCTTCCGGTAGGCCTACCCCCTTGGACCACGGAGGGCCTTGAACCCCCGACTGCCTCAAATTCAGGTCTTGGACTCCTGAAACTTGGCTCTCGGGAAGGCAAGACGCCAAGGAGGTCAACACGAGCCATGCGCACTCGCTTGAAACCATGTCAAGAGGCCAATCTCAAGAGGGTACCCGTGCAAATCATCGGCTTTTCTTCCAGGATCCAACTGAAAGCGAGCCTTACGAAACAAGAAATCCTGTTGAGCGGAAGAAACGGGAAGGAGGACTCTTTGGATGAATTAATACAAACAAGACAATTAACTCGCCCAACACTGCCGATCAAGAAGGGGTGCAACTCAACTATCACACTTTCCCAAGTCGGCGTCCTTTTGGTTTCCCTTTGAAAGTGGGAACCTCGTCCTCTGATTTGAGAACCCCACATTTTTCTGCTGGAATGGCGTATGAACTGTTTGTAGGATTCACGTTCGGGATGCTCAATCTTTGTGTCTCAAACCAGCCAGGGCGGACATCCAAACACAGCCACCTGACTACGTGCTTCCTAGCCTCTGCCGGATACAAGGACAAGATTGGTTGACACGATTGATTGCTTGGCTGATTTCCAACGAAAGTGGGCTGGTCCTTGCCCCCTCGAAAAGCTCAAAAAACATGTTTCCGAGAAAATCAAAGGGTATTTCGGTGAAACCGAAGATGCCAAATATCGCCGACCTGGAAAAACACGGAATCCAACAACTTGAAAGGGCCATTCGCTGACAAGTAAGTCTCTCAATATGTGTGTGTGTGTGTCAAAACAGGGGAACCACCAGATTAGGTGGTTTCCCTTTTTGGTTCCCTTTCAACTAAAAACTAAAAAAGGGGTGCCTCAAAAACGACACACCAAAGCATTGACCCCTGCGAGGAAAACACCTGCGCCTTTGGACCTGGAGGAATTTCCGTCGCGTGGTTGGGAACCCAAACTGCCCAGTGCCACACAAACTACCACTGTAGGCAGCCAGGCGTTTCTTTTCTTTTTTTTTACCTCGAGGCTTTGCATGATGGTTTCCTAATTTTTATAGCTATCGTGGTAAGGAAGCACACTGGGCCGGGGTCTCCGAGAAAGAAAAAAGAAGAAAGCAGGCCGCATCGTCGTGTAACAGCACTCCTGCCGGCCCTGCCGGTCGGCTTGAGTCTCTCAGTTCCAGACTGCGCGGTGGGCGAGGTGGGCTGGCTAGTCTCAGAGCGAACCCGGCGATTCCCGTGGACGTTTCCTATGGACATTTTTGTTGGGGTGCCAACCCCGAAACCTCAATTCTATGCATGAGGTGTCAGTAGATCAGCCTCAGTGCATTGTTCTGAACGATAAGTGGTGAATTTACAAGGGACAACAATGAAGCATATGTCAAATGGTGTTTCACTAGCCGTAGTCCATGGTTCCATCCATAGGGCGGGCACAGACAGCTCCGGTCAAACAAGCTCAGAGCCTCTGAGTCTCTTGCTGGGCAGATCTCAAACCTCCTGTGGCAAAGGGAAGGAGCAGTTGAAGAACTGGAGCCTCCCTTGAAATGTGGGAAAAAGAGGGCCCCACTGGAGGTCTGGAAACCCGAAAGGATCCTTTCTGGGGGAGAAGGAAGTACCCCCAGTTCCTAACTCTGAGCCACAGATATATGGTCCAAATAAGTTGCCTCGGGCTCGCGGTCGACCCAATGTGGTACTCAGACGAATGGAAATCATTAACAGATCGAAGTGGCTTCCTCAGCTCCAAACTCCAGCTCCTTCCCCCCCCAAAAAGAGGCCCGGTGTGCATGAAAACGCTCTTTGCTGATATTGTGTCTTGTATAGTATGTGCATATGTACATATACAGAGCACATATTGCAGCATACACATGTAATACACCAAAACCAAACGCAATGAACACAATAATTCTAGGGATTGATTCCCCATTCTTTTCAACCATCGTTCTGTTCAAAAGAACTGCCGTTGTTCCTGGGTGTCGGGAGGGTTTCTAGAAAGAAGGATCCCTGGAAAGAATGGGAAAAGTACCCCTGGAATGATGGCGCATACACCCTGGCCCTAGTGGGTGCCATGCTGAGGCCGCCGGCGCCAACGCCTCGCTCCTTCACCAAGACCTCAACCAGCGGTCGGGCTTCCGGATCGGTGCCGATTGTTGCCGACTTCTCCGCGGGCACCCAAAACTAGGGACAATTGCAGCTGCTTCAACCAACGGAAACCAAAGGAAAGCAACCAAGTCTCTGCCCGCTCCCTTTGATCATCTTCTGAGAGACTCGAGGTCAACCAATCTACAACATGCCATAAACACCCTCTGCGAGTGCTTTGCTCGAGAATCAGTGTGGCCCTCCCTCAGCATGCAGACCTTCTTTTGGGTCAACAAAAGTGTTTACCTTTTTTTCCTGGGTGCGCCATTTGGCTGTGGGTCAAAAACCTGGGACCAAAATGGAACCCTGTTAAGTGGAAAAATGGACAAAAACCTGCGTAACCCCGCCACACCCACTTAACAAGTCTAAACCTCGCCACTAAAATGGGCGTGTCGAATAACAAGTCTAAAACCTGTGGGGTAATCCCAATGGACTCCGACTCAATCCGCCAAGCCACCGGTCCGAAGTGGAAGATTTGATCCGCCTCCGAGAAAACGCGGACCTCAGGTGGTCAAAGCCAGCGGCACTTGAGGTGTCTCTTCTTAGCCTACTCTTCCATTTGTTTCATTTCGCCCCCTGGGAAAAAATGACATTGTATATGTCCAGTAGTGAAATCGACCAGCAAGGAAAGTAGCCGAAACAAATCTTGAGCAAATGGAAGTACTTCCTTTGGGGCGATTAAAGGGAAACCCCCCCTCCCCCCCCAAAAAAAAGGGGTTCCATTCACCAACAATGCTGAGCAGCGTCCTGTATCATGATACGAAACCAGATCGATGGATGCCGGTTAACTTTTGTAGAGGCTCCGAGTGCACCGACCAACCGGATTTGACACACACACACACACATGTGCACACACACACACACACACTAGCTTGGTTCGTCTTGGGCCACGTGCAAAGCTTGAATATGTTGCTGTTCAGTTGAGGAATTGTCGTTTTGCAAGTGTCAAAAGGTGCTTCAGGTCGAACCAATGATCAGCCAGGGTTCCCCAAATTTCGATACATATATTACAATACTTTCAAACGCAAACATGACCCACTGAAACAAGCACTCACTTGAATTAGGCCTTTCCAGAAGGTAACGCTTCCAACTAAAAAGTTGCGACGTCCGACACATTCCCAGGGGATCCAAACTACCGCTGAGGCCCCTGCATCCAAACGCCCTGCGATGGCAATGGCATCTTCCAGCGTGCGCGTGAAGAACTGTTCCTGCGTGCGAGGAACGGTGGGTCCGTCTTTTGGAGGATACCCCTTTTTGGTTGGTTTTAAGGGAAACCAACCAGAAAACCAGCTTCTTTCCTTTTTTTTCATTTTCCGGGGGGGTCCAACCTCAAAAATCGACACACCCACCCGGGGTCTCAACTTCCAAAACCTGAAACCAGGGGTCTCCCAATCTACTTTTCTGCTCAACTAAAACCAGAGGAAAGGACACCTAGGGGTGGAACCCACGCCGGCGATGAGCCCCTCCTCGAAGACCGTCTGCAGGTCGGTGGTGTTGATGCCTCGCATAGGCAAACTTAAGGTTCCCCGCAAACATCGGACGTGGGTGGTGCATGGTGGTGTTTCTTTTGGTTCAAAAAGGATACCCAGAAAAAATGGCGCAACCAAATTGAGCGGGTCCCGGGTTGAACTGTAGAGCTCTTTGTTCCTTGTCGGTGCCTCCCAAATGAATTTTCGCCCGAAAAGAGTCCATAAACAGCTCCGGCACCAACCGAGTTCTGCACAAGGAAAATGCTGGCCAACTTAGAGCCCTGGCCATGCAAATTTTAAGGCTGAACAAGGGATGAGTGCGGGCAAAGCCCGGCTCCTGGCCACAATCCTCAACAGGAGCTTCAGGGGCGGAGCGGTAGGACAGAAACCATCAGCCATTGAATTCTCTTGTGGCTCAACTCCTTCAAGAAACCGGTACCAATCAGCAATTTTCTATCTGGTCGTCCCTTGCTTTCTGCTATCCATCTTTGTGGTTTAGCCCTGAGGTTTACAGCGATTCTCCCCCAGGCAAAAAATGCATGCCGCCTGGCACGCAGCTCTGGCCCGTGAGGAGGTACGAGGAGCAACCTGCCGAAAACCACACTGGTTGTGCTGCCGGAGGTTTGCAGCCGTGTCAAAACCGTCAATAATATTTAGATATCCTTTTGAAGTCTCGTGTGGACGATAGCCATGACTTGCTTCCCGGAAAAGCAGAAGGGGCCTGGGCTTCTGTTTAAGGTTGAGGCTACATGTGGGTCTGGGCCCCTTACAGATTGATTCCCACGTTGCTTCTGCGAATGGTTAAGGTCTCATATATGGGGTGTCGTTTGCTGATGCCATTCGTAACAGATCGAGGTACTAGGCGGGGTTCTAATAGGACAACTTCCCAAATTACATGGGCTGCCTCGATCTTACCACGCCAAAGAAAACCGACTCGCTGAGCGAGAATTGCTAAATAATGAGAACGGAGTTGAGAACCCCTTGGTTCATTAATCAAATGATATGTTCCATCAATTTCCGTGGTACAGGAGCTGACTGAGGCTGACTCGCTCTGCAGAAACTATGCGGTGCGCGTGCAAAACCGTTTTTTCAATTGCGTGAACAAGTTTTGAAAGCAGAATGACTGGAGAACTGGTGAATAGCAAGAGGCAGACACGGCTCTTCACCTCACCTCGGTCGCAACACCTGTCGGAGGCGGTTCCGCAGGGATCTCGGAGCGATGAAGACAAGGGCAGAAGAATCGCGCCCCAAACTCTAGTTCCCCAACAGCTGAAAGTGATGGGGTCTCAGCCCAAATCGGCTCTGGAAGGTTCCGAAAACGCAAGAAACGGTTCCGAGGAGGGTTCCCTGGTTCCCTGCTGTTGGGAATATCGCCCGCCCGCGGGCTCGTCCGGGAAGTGCCGGTAAGGGAAGCTCCCAGAACAAAAACATACTCCACAAGGTTTGCTCTTCCAGGGGCGACATTTACGGCGAATGACACCTTCAAACCCAACGAGTATTGGACATTCAATTTCATTCTTATTACTTATGGGGTCCACAAAGAAGGAAACTGGGACCCCAAAGAATGGACCCGTTTCCTCAGTTTCTCTGGATGCAGGGAGGACCCCAGAGACGGGCCTGCGAGCTGCCCCGCGTCCGGCGAGGGCTCCCCCTGGACCTCAGGCAGAGAGCGAGGTAAGCTGGGCTGTTTGCATGGGAGGAGGGATCAAACAAAGGAAACAAGGACTGCTAAATGGCGGAAAGAGGTTGCCCTGGTGAATGAAGAGTGGAAAATTGCATTGTTTCCAAAATGGGTTGCCCTGAATGGAAACAAGGACTAAAACCTGCGGTGGTGAATGGATTTTTGAGCCATACCTGGAAGGAATGGGTAACTTGTGATGAATGTCACGTTGCTCTCTTGGGGTAATTCTAGCAAAGCACTCTCTTTTTAACAATTGCAGAAGTGGGCAGAAGGGTTTGGAGAATGACGGTTCTCCCTTGCCCCACCCTACCCTGCTTCTACGAATCTCAAAAGAAGAAGCACGGCGTTGGCGTAACCAAGCATCTCCTTTCAAGTTGTTCTAAGCGTTCATACTTACTCTCCCGCTCCCAATTCTATTTGGTTTTGATGCCCTCCAGGATATCCTTAGTCACCATTGCCATGTCTTACTGGTCTTTCCGTGCATGGCACAACCAACACCCTCCACTCCACTGCCCTGATTGCATGAAAAGAGCTCAACTGCTTTTGGGGGCCAGCATGAGATCAAACATGACAGCCACAACAGTCAGCCCCTAGTATGCAGATTGGTTTGTCGGGTTTCCGCGTTCCAGTCTGAAGCGCTTCTATGTCCAGGGGTTGGCAACCGCTCATGCACCTGTCAGCCTTGATAGGGACGATCAATCACTTTGATGTCCAAACCTTCGATCTGTGACCATTCTGGCTGAGTGTTGACTTGCTGCACCATGTTGGCACCTCCGCCAATTGAGCAATCAGCGGCAGCTCTCACCAAGAGGATCGATTTCTGCAGGGCTGTCACCTCTCAAAATTGGGGAATCCCTAATCCAATCCGTACTCGGCACTGGGACACGACTTGAAGGGAAACTGCTAGCTGGTTTCAAGAAAGTTTGACAGGCCCATGCTTTCCAAGGAGCCAATTTCGGGGGCCGCTTCGCTCAACTGAGCTTGCCGACCCCATCCACCCAAATGGCAATCTTGGAGTCATAATCCTCATCGCCGGCCGCCTGCACAAGGAAATGGCTGAAAATGCGAGGTCTCCTAGTACACTCCAACATTTGACCCATTTGGAGGGCCGTGGGTACACATTCCAAGCATGGAGTGCTTGGGCAAGGGGCCCGGAAATTGAAGGTTCATTTTGGGGGATGTTCACCAAAAAACGGACTGCAGGAACCAACAGGTTGAAACGCGTCGAATCCCCGTTTCACTGTTTGAAAGGGGAACCGGCAGAAACAAGCCTGCAGAAGGGCCCTCATTCGAGACAAACCTCTTGGCCGAGATCAGTCATCTTTTGAGCGGCAGTCGAAGATTTTGTGTTTTGTTCAAATTGGAATGGAAAAAGAAGTGTAACCACGCCTGGAAAAAGACAGCCGTGCGCAAAGTCATCTAGTCAAATGAAATGTCAAATATGAGGATGTTCAATCATTTGTGATAATACCAGTACTCCTTTGAGACAAATTTCTGGGATTACTCCCCCTGCATGACGTGGAGCCCCAAGTTGGCGGCCCCTCCTGTTGCAAAAAAGTCACCCGGATACCCCGGAGTCATCCGGAGATTCAGCTTGCTTGATCCAAGGCAAAGGGTTTAGGTCTGAGGGGGCAGGCCCATGCAGCACAGAAGACAAACCTGAATTGCCTTCACAATATCCATGGAGCCCGAAGCAAGCTCAAGGCAATCCCACCAAATGTGACCCTTTGCGTCAGGCACCTTCTGCCACGCAAAAAGGGGCCTTTCGAGGCGTTTTGGTTGCTCAAGTTGGGGAATACAGCTCTCAGGTGCCACTCAAGTGGGCCGATTGCATGAAACACACCAAAAGCAAAAATAGGCGAGTTAAAGAAGGGGCATGGTTTCCAGGAAGCTTCCAGGGAGACTTTGCGGATCCATTTCTCAACCCAATTTGATTCATATGGGCCCCCCAAGACATGAAGGCTTCAAATCCAAATGGGGATGCTCGCACGTGTGAATTCTAGATTTTGGACCCGACCGGTTTCTTTTTTACCTGGCCACGCATAACACGAAAATCCCGTCTGATTCTGTTTTATGTTTACCCCGTAAAACGTCACATGGTTTGTGAGGAGACCCCATACGAAGCCCCTGGATCCGCTCATTCCCTGTGATTTTCCAAGTCTGATGCTTGTGGGTTACAGCTACAGCGTGTTTTTTTTTTTTTTTTTTTAAGGGGCCTGCGGTCTGCAGGCTGAGCCATGCTCATGTTCTGCGGGTGTCACGCGGGCGATCGACTGAGTTCAGACACCTCGAAGGTGACCTGAACCTGCACGTCCTCATCCGGATCCAACTTGCCAGACCTGGGTGCGGCTCAAAATGAAAACATGAGGGGTTGCGCAGGTTGCGGTCCATGTTACTTAGAAGGTGTCCATGTTGGTACCGGTTTTTTGCGCCAAAGCCATGGTTCTTCTTTTGGTTTTTATTGAAACCCATCCACAAACCTGGGCTGCTCGAAAGATCCACTGCTAAAAGTGTAACTTGTGGGTGAAATGTGGAACCCCCCTTCCCCACTGAAACTCAAGGCGATTCCCACATCCTAAATCCTAGCTACGCATCCAAATGGGATTCCAGTACTTAAAAAAATATGCAGCAACAAATTGCTCAGTTAGATGAATTAGCGTTGCACATTCGGCAAACAACTGAGGCACACTGTTGTGCTGCGTGCGGATGTCCAACATTCGGCCATCTAGAAGACATGTTGCCGGCAACTCACGCATGCACCTGGAAAGGGCTGAAGAAGGTCGGCTCGGTCCGTTTTTCAGGGTAATTGCCCTTTTTGGGGGTGGCTTAAGGGGAAATAACCAACAGGGAACAACACGACTCTTTAGCGTAGAAAACCTTTTGGAGGATCCCTTCATGGACCAAAGGGGTCAACAAATGATGCACTCCCCACAAACATGGAACCTGAAAGAGACCCCCTACTAAAAAAAATGAAAGAAACAACAAAAGACATAGAATTCAGTTCTCCTCTAGAGCCTGCAACCCTTTTTCAGGCTCAACGTTTGTTGGGGCTACGAGCCCTTTTCTCTGATTATTATATGTCTCAGACTAGGGGGTCCAACACGGTGATGTTTTTCTGCTTTCCCTGTTGAAACAACAGAACGAGACTGCCGAGATTTGCAACAAAGACATCCATTCGGAGGTGGGAGACTCAACATAAGGAGCCCCTTCTTAGTGGCCCCGCCATCCCGTTAGTTGTTTTTTTTTTTTTTTACGCTTCTTAGGGTTTGGGAACCCACCAAACAACAATGGACAGGGATCCTTGAATTATACACCTGAACATTGCCTTGTAAATGGGGGGGCTTCCCTTTATTTTGGTGGAAAAAGCCATGGTTCAAATGGGCAAAAGGTATCTTTTAAGGAGCCCTGATGGATTGGGGTGAAAGCACTCTATCGAAACCTCTGGCGGCCCGAGCGTGGGCTTGACATTGAAGGGCCCAGCCGCCACGGGGTTCTTCGACAACGGTGGCTGACCATCCTGGTGAGATTGGTCCTACCTCCTGTCCTCGGCTCCAACAACCTTGCTACAAGGATACTGTGGATGGACGAAATTCTGCACCACTTTGAAACCAAAGGAAACCATTGTTGCTTGGTGTATACAGGGAAATCATCATTCCAGGGTTGCTTAGGTGGTGCAGGATTTCGTCCACCAGTATCCCGGCCCCTGAAGGCAAACAACAGAATCCACAAACCGACTTGAAGTCTTTTCGAGGTTCGGAGCGAACTAGCCTGAACTAGCCCATGCTCATTTGACTTGCTGGTGCCAAATAGGAAACGACCTGCCGGCTTTTGGGAATGAACCGGAAGGAGATTCCCTTTCAAGGAAGCCATGGAGGGTTTTTTGGGGGTCATTCCGTGTCTCATTCCCTGAGAACCAGCAAGTTTCGACGCCTGTGCGAAAAGCAAGCGGCTTTCCATGGGATACCCAATGGCTCACGCGTGAGGGCGGCTTACTTTCGGACTTCGACCCCACGGAAACTCATCCGTCAGAATGCTTCCCGTAGTTCCCGGGTGCTGGAAGGACCCCCCTGCAAAACGTGAACAACTTTTTGTGGCAACAGTTCAGAAAATCCAAACTGTGTCAACCATGAAGGTGTTCCTCAGGTACCCCTGATTGATTCGGAGGGGATGGATCGGGTGCGATGCAAACTTCAAGGAACAAAACTGAACCAGCGACACAACTCAGTAAGACGGGATCCATGCACGCACTCCTGTAAGAGTTTGGCCGCATTGTGGCAACACCTAGACTTCCCAGGTAGCATGCGTTCCACGCAAAACTCCATGTGGTGCAGTCAAATCAGAAGTTGTTGGATCCCCACGTAAAGGACCTTCACCATGAGTTTTAAGCCCTAAGCCGTAGCTCGTTCGACAGAAAGGTCTGCAACTAGAACCAACGAGTTTTTGAGAACACAAGGGACCTATCTTTCACACCATCCAAAGCGTCCACCTTTTTGAGAAACATCCACATGGTCCAACGGAATCATGACAAGACCCATTAATAAAACCCAATGGTCCATGAAAGTCCCCTCCGTTTTCCCAACTTCGCCACACCTGGCCTCGCCAAAGGATGGAGGGTCCGCCCAATCGAAGAGGCTCCAGTTGAAGGCGAAAATGCCGTTGTTTCGGATCTCGGACGGCGAGCTGCTCCGAAAAGATGGGGGGGCATAGCTGTCCTTTTAGGGAAAATAGATGGCCCTGGTAGATGATTAAACCACCAGGTCAACCAGGGCCATCTATTTTTCTAGCAAATAAAAACGGACACCTATGTGGGAGGGGTGGTCAGAAGACCTGGTCAACGTGCAACCCCAAACCTGGATTTGCGTATTGTTCTACCGATTTGTGAGTCCAGGACAAGGATATCAAATGTCAACGTCCAGAAGTCATGGTCCCAATTCTGCCATTCCCAGTGCCTCAGATGTCTGGACACCAACAAAGGCCGCAAAACAACGCCCCAGCCAAACCTGTCCTGAGATCCCCCGCTACAGTCTAACTTTTGGTGGTTTAGTGGAAACGACAAACGAAACCCCAAAAGGCCAAAAACCTGAAAGTGATGGATGCTCAGGTTCCAAGTTCATCTACCTGAAGTCTCCATGTCCCTTTAGACATCTTGTCGTGACCCCTTTATTTTGGGTAATGACCCCAATTTTAAAGGGTCATGCAGACTCCAGGTAGATGGGGACGAGAAGATCACTGCTCATCTCTTCGCGGGTCCTGGTCTTGTAAGACAAAAGGCCGCAAACGATGGCAATGCCCGTGCCAAAACACCAAGCACAATGCCCGCAAACAATGGAAAGCGCTTACAAACTCAAGAAGCCATCCCTTGGTCCCGGTTTGAACGTATTGTATGATTCCGCACAACCAACCAGGACCAAAAGGGAAGTTAAATAGCGGCTACCGCGGAGCCTATATTCAAATTGGGACCTTTAACACCTCACGGAACTAAGAGCTGCCTTACAACTCTAGTCAAATGATGGTTGCCTGAGAGGTCAAGTTGAGTCTCATCAGGTTGCTGGACACCTGTGGAGACCTGATAAAAGGCAGAACAAATTCAACTGGCCTCTATGTGTGGCATCTCTCATGACGACCTCAATGTCCAAGTGACCCCACATGAGTCATGTTCTAGCTGATGATTTCCAAGGCGCATCTTATGGCCGCCCCCAATGAACAACCTTTGCTGAGCATGCATGAGAAAAAAAGAGAAACGGGTCATGACCATCTCCTATTCAAACAAGAGAGGCTGACTTTTTTGTGAGCCGTGCTGATTTGTCATCTAAATCACACATGTTGTATTAAACCCCCAAAAAGGTACACTTTTTGCAGGGGGGTCAACAGCAACCAAGAGAAGAAGCCATCATGTCCAACCAACATGTAGAACTCCATGGGTGATGCGTTTGGTTTTACACACCACAGAGTGCACCTTGTGTTGACCAAATGAAATCAGCCCGTTGGAGGTACCATGCTCCGGAATCCTTGCTGCGTTTTGGGGGTGTTGTGGAAAGATCCAACCCAATAGCAGTCACGTTCTGTTTGCTAAAGCTGCTCAATCAAATGGTGACCATAAGCACAGAGTAGTGACATCAGCATGGTTCGGTGTTGTCAGATTGACTTGCCTTAAAATGTACTTTGCCTATCCCATACCTCTTGACTGACGATTGGTAATTCAGGCTGCTGACGTCTATCAAGCGTGGTTGCTGCACTCCTGACAAAGCCTCAGAGGTCCGAACAACTGATTCCACGGCCAAATCAGAAAGAGGTGTGCCTTTTGCCATTTGACAACATAGGATAGTGCGTGGCTGCCTGATTATGACTCTGGACCCCCTTCTAGGTTCAAGCACCAGCAGCTATCCATTCACCTTCAAGCATTGAGTCCTCGCTCTCTTTTGCATGGCTACCATTCGTGGATGTTTGGAGCCCGCCGAAAATTACCTAAAACCGGCCATGGGGAACAGGCCGCGCAATTCAGCAAGTCAAGTATATGGACAGGAGATACCGTCAGAATGTCCCCCTCTGTGAATTTGTGTCTAGCTCGTCATTTGCAAGCGCTATAGAACTCCATGGCATGCAATATGCAATTCACGATCGTCTGGTTACTGTTGGACTCCTCGTCCGCACCGGCTTCCAACAGCAAGGACTTTCACAACTGACTGATGGTCACTTCTTGCAGCCAAATGCAAGGGCATCGCCCCATCCATGTCTGCCTTGTTCCTGTCAGCACGGGCTTCCAGCAAGTACTGTACAACTTCCAGGTGGCCTCCGCGTGCAGAGAAGTGCAATGGTGTAGCGCCCCGCTCATCTGCTTTGTCCGCGTCAGCACGGGCTTCTAGCAAGAACCGCGCAATGATCGCTAGGCCTTTGCGTGCTGCAAGATGCAATGGTGTGACTCCATCCTTGTCTGCTTTGCTGTTGTCGGCATGGGCATCTAGCAAGTCCTGTACAACTACCCCGTGGCCTTGGTATGCAGAAATATGCAACGGTGTAGTGCCATTGTTGGCTGCCTTGTCTGTGTCAACACAAGCTTGCAGCAAGTAGTTCACAACTCCTCCATGCCCATTTTGCGCAGCAAGTCGCAGCGGTGTGCTGCCCCGGTTGTCTGCCTTGTCCTTGTCAACCTGAGCTTCAAGTAAGCACTGCACAGCAGTCTGCTGGCCACTCCGCGCAGCAAGATGCAATGCTGTGAAACCATGCTTGTCTGCTGTGTTCTTGTCAGCACTGGCTTCTAGTAAAAGCTTTACAATCTTCTGATAACCTTCCCGCGCAGCGAAATGCATTGGTGTACAGCCATCGCTGGCCGCCTTATCCTTGTCAGAGCCTGCTTGTAGCAAGAAATACACAACTCTCGCATGACCACTCTGTGCAGCAACATGCAATAGAGTGATGCCAGCAGTGACTGTCTCTTCTTTGTCGGCACCTGCTTTCAGCAAGCACTGCACGACTAATGCATGACCGTTCTGCGCAGCAAGTCGCAACGGCGTGCTGCCTCGCTTGTCTGTCTGGCCCTTGTCAGCTTGAGCGTCTAGCAAGATCTGTACAACAGCCAGCCGGCCTTTGCGTGCAGCAACGTGCATGGGCGTAAAGCCGTCGCTGGTTACCCTCTCTTTGGCAGCACCAACTTGCAGCAAGTGCTGCACAACTCCTGCGCAACCGTTCTGTGCAGCAAGATGCAATGGTGTGGCGCCAAACCAGTCGGACTTGTTTTTGTCAGCACAGGCCTCTAGCAAGCACTGCACAACTTGCAAGTAGCCGTGCTGTGCAGCAACATGCAATGGCACAATCCCACCATTGGCTTCCTTGTTTGCGTCAGCGCCAACTTCAAGCAAGCACTGCGCAATTTCTTGATGACCGTGTTCAGATGCATAGTGCAGAGGGGTCCAAAGGAATTGTGTTTCAGCAGCATTGGGGTCCTGAGGCTCCTCCAACCTAGGCTGGAATTAGGACCCCGGCAAACAATTATATTTTTTGCCTGGTTAGTGGAAAACAAGGGGAGCCCCCAAAAAAATATAAAATACAAAAGGGGAACTAATTCTGGGGAAGCAACAGCTTCAGCGCAGATTGAACGTCGCCGCTGCCAGCGGCTTGCATCAAGTTGTGCGGCAACTCCTCTCCTTCAACTTGTGTCATGGCAGTTTCAGCATACGGCCGCACAATGACAGTCAGACGCTCATCCTGCCAAGGACCGTCAGACCCCAACAAGCTTCCTAGGCTGCTGGCCAATGAAAGACGACGAAAGTTCCGCAAGTGCAGCTTCTTGGCCAGCTGTCGCAGAAGCGAATCGAAAAAGAGCCCGGCTGCGCCGTGATGTTCGTCCCACAACAAGGAGAACTCTGCAGACGTCATCAGCTCCGCGCCATCTAAGGAATGAATGCACGCCATGGGCGGATTCGATGCGCCGCGTCTTTTCTGGAGCCGGGCGTCCTCATGATCACGCACTCAGCAACAATGACCTGTTGGAAGAGAAGCACTCTCTACGTTCTGTTGTTCGTCCCTTGATGTGGTTGAGCCTTTTTGGAGTTGCTACCCTTCATGAGGTTGTTTTCAGCAGATTCTCCCTCCTCCAACCCCGCTAGTCTCCAGACTTCAGACGACTCCAGACTCCAGCGCGCACTCCAGACTAGCCTCCAGACTGCAGCCTCCAGACTCCAAGACTCAGACTTCAGGCTCCACTCCAGCCTGCGCACTCAAGACTCCAGCCTCAAAACCTGTCCAAACCCAAAAAAATGGGTAGAAACTGGGTCCATCTAGCTCCGGTCAAATCCCGCTAGACCGCCCAACTCTGGTCCCCCCTAGACACCGGCCAAATTCCCCTCAAAACCGGTCAAATTCCCCTTCGCAAGTCGGAAGCTTGGAAACCAGCTCACGCATTTCAGCGCCGACTCACTCACCTCTCTCAGGAAAAATAAAGCACAGTATATACCTCAAAGCCAGCCAAAAGCGGACAGGCCAAGGCGAGCAACGCGAAGCGTTTAAGGAACCACCAACATGGGTATCCTGCGTGTGTGAAAACACAAAAGCTGGTCCAGAATGGACCATGCTTTTGGCATGGGGGCGGTGTGTTCTGTGTTGCCTTCGCTGATGTGTTCTCTATAGGTTTAATGTGAATATAATGTGTATAATATACACATATATATGTATATATCTATATTATCTGTGTGTGTCCCTTGGCGCGGGACAATGCGTCGGCTGGATTTCTGGATCTCTGGATGTCTGGATTTTTGGATCTCTGCATCTCTGGACTGGCTCTGGGCTCTCTGGATGTCTGGATCTCTGATGTCTGGATGTCTGGCTGTCTGGATGGTTTTCGATCTCACCCCCCTGCGTCTGTGTCTCTTTGTGTCTGTTTGTGTCTGTCTACGTATCTGCGTCTGTCTTCGTGTCCGCGAACGGGTCTGTGCACGCGTGCTTCTCTCGCCCCGGGCCCTCGCCGTGCAATGTCGCCCAAAGGGGCGTACGGTCACTGCCGCATCGTCTGCATTCCCAGCGCCTTTGGTGCATCATCACCACCCGCGCGGCCACTGGAGCTCGAGTTGAGGGAAGGCTAAAAACACTGCAAATATGCAGCAACCTGGCTGCATTGCAACGCTTTCGGAAGCCCAAGTGTTTCGCGCATCTCCTGCATGCCCTGCATCGCCCTTGCGGCCATTTTTCCCCAAGCCATTCCTGATGGCGCGCGCGCGCGCGTGCGGGCGTGCATGCGCGCGCGCGCGCGCGGGGGCGCGCGGCGGGGGGGCGACGCGGCCATGCGGGTGCAGGTGTGGGCGCGCGCGCACGGGGTGGGTGTGGGTGGGTTGGGATGTGTGCGTTGTTGGGTAGGTGGCTGTGTGGTGGCTGTGTGTGTGCGTATGCGCCATCCCATCCATCCCATGTATCATTGCATCCCACGGACCCACCCATCCATCCATCCCTCCCTCCCTCCCTCTCTCACTCTTATCCGCCATCCATCGCGTCCATCCATCCAGCCAGCGCGGCGGACATGCGAGGCCGGCGCGCGGAGCACGCAAATAAAGAAGGGTTCACTCCCAAAAATAGGAAGCATCCCAGCACCCAGCGACTGTGTTGTCCAACGTCCAAGTCGGGAATGGTACATATTACCTACACGCGGATTGCCTGGGGTTGGGGGGTTGGGGGGTTGGGGGGTTGGGGGGTTGCGGGGTTGCGGGGGGTTGGGGGGTTGGGGGGTGCGAATCCCGTTGCGACAAGGCGCCGTAAAGCTCCGGGTCTGCGTCTCCCCCTTCTCCACAGGTCCAAAGTTCAAGCCGCGCGGCGGCGTCACCTGGCCCACCCGCGGGCTCGGCGCGCAAAGGCGCGCGCCAAGGCCCCCCGGGCCGAGCTTCTTTTTTGTGTGTGCTTCTTGCTTTGTGGTTGGTTGCGGCTTTGTCTTTGCTTGCTCAAAACGTTGAAGGTTTGGAGGTTTGCTTGATCGAAATCTTTGGCTAAGTTTAATTTTCGTACCCGATTATGCAAAGGGTATCAAATACATTAAAGTTTTCCAAACTTATTCTCTACCCCAAAAATGAAAGGGGCACCCGATACAATGCTCGGGAAAAATAGGGCTTGATCCGGACGAAAGTCATGGCCACCCCAAATACTCAATAGTAGACATGACAAAAGGGGTACCCGACTGTGCAACCGTCTCTCCGCGCCTGCCCTATAGTAACTCCCATCTCTCTTCTTGTCCACTCGTTCTTTCTTCTGAGCACTGAGAAAGTCAGATTATCTCTGCAACCAACACCTATCCCCGAACCGTTGATTTCCTTTGCATCTCCTTTATATAGGGGTAGCGCGTGGCCACCTCAGATACTCCATAATAGAAATGAAGAATGGGTACCCAATTGTGCCACCGTGTTTTTCAAGCTGAAAAATCAAAGAACTACTAACCAATACTATGATAGACGAATACAAACCAATGCTAAGCTAGTACTAGGTCAAAGCCAGTACAAAGGCCGCACAAGCCAATACTACGCCAGTAGTACTAGAGCCCGCAATTTGTTTGGGCCGGGCCCTTGATGAATCAGCGACCCAAGGTAACCTCCTCCAAAAAGAGGTTCCTTGTGGAAAATAACCCTCTTTCAAAGTGGGCCACTTTTTCGGCATTCAAAACTGCCCCGAAAATCCAACTCTCCACAACCGTATTGACATCCAAGAATCCAAGGCGTGGCTGCCACTCACTTAGTTGCCCCCCTAAACAATTGGTGTCGCGATCCCTTGGGCCAAAACAGGTTCCCGTATATATTTTGGCACTTTCTGCGAAGCGATGGGTTTCATGTTGCTCCACATTTTGGCACCCATTCCCCGCTGAGCGACTGGCTTCACATGTGCTTTGTTGTTCTCCGCATTTTGGCGCATGTTGACGTCCCACCGCAGTTTTTGCTTTTGGTCTCATTTCTCAGATGCCCAGGGCATCCTTTCTTGGTTGGTTGACTTGAAAGGGGAACCCTTCCCCAAGCAAAGTTGAAAAAAGGGCGGAATCCACTGGGCAACAGATATTTGTTGCTTTCGAACGAATCGGATCGAATCGACCTGGAAGGTGTTGTAGACTGCTGTCAGAGCCACGCGCATCGGCGGGATCCGGTGGTCCACGGACTCCCCGCTCCTCGGGCAAGAGGAAAACCACAACTCACCCACACGCAAAAAAAAAAGAGCTGGGTCCGGTGTTTAGGAGACCCCCCCAAAAAACATGCGCTTCTCCTCTTGGTGTCCCGGGGTACCCCCAAAAAAAGACAGCCGCATACACCCTGGTGAGCTGTTTCTTTCTCCGGACTCCTAGCCAGCGGTGGCGTATTCATCTCTCGATTTCGCGAAGCAGAGTTGCTCCACGACCCTTTCGCAGGTTGCACTTCTTGGACCTGGGAAACAAACAGAGCCCGTTTATATGCTATTTACCAGTTGGGTGCTCAAAGCTTCTAAGCCCGAATGTGGGAAGGGAGACTAAAAACTGCGGCCCCCCTGGCTCTTAAGTTTTGAGCCGCACCCAATTTTCTCACCTTGCGGCGGTTTGGTCATTTTCAGCGGAGCAGGGAACGGGCCACTTGGAGTTGTTGCGAGACGATGCCCAGGGCTTTCCCTCGCCTTCGAGGATGGTGTCGGGAGGGCTTTTACCACCAACGTCTTCTCAGCACTTTACCGCCCCTGTCTTCTTCGGATGCCCTTGACGCAGCGCCCAAAAAACCAAGGAACAGCGAGGGGCTCATCAGGGCCCTGACGGGATCTCGGGCGCCAGATCTATGCTTTTCACACCCCTGAAGCAACCTGAGTGTGGCACGGGAATTTCGGGGGTTCCGCTTCCTAAGCCCCAGGACGCTTAGAGTATATAGGCAACTGGTCACCTCAGTGAGGAACAACTTTTTAGGCCCATGACTCAAAATGGACCAATCAAGGGAAACCGACCGCTCCATTTGGTTAAGGCCCCGGGAAAAATAAAAATATGTCCCATAGTGATAGATTCCCTTTTAAAACCAAAAGGGCAAAATATAGTGTTTTTTACAGAATGGAAGCACGTGAGTCATTGCGATCCACCGGGCGCGCGGCAGCTGATCGAAGATCTGCAGTGCGATGCCTTCGCCTCGACACGACTGCCCCCCGAAAAAGAAAGATACTGTGGATGGAAAAAAATCTGCACCACCCAAGAAACCCTGGAATGTTGATTCCTCTATAAATACCAACAAATATAAAAATGGTGTCTCATGGTTGCTTAGGTGGTGCAGGATTTCGTGCAGGTATGGGCCGCCGGGGGCTGGAACACAACGAAAACCCCAAGTGGTGGTTTTCATGAGAGACAGGTGGTGGAAAGCCTGAATCTGCTGGGGTGGGTCTTTCCCGCCCCCCCCCCAACAAGAACAAACAAAGTTTGGGGGTCGAAAAAAAAGAAAAGGTCCTCACTGGGGTGGTTCTTTCCATCCCCCCAAAAAAAGGCAAAAGCTTGGGGGTGGGCAAACCCAGGTTCCTCCAGCTTCAGTGCTTTGCAATCCGCTGGAAGCCCTGCAGGGCGCCCGGGTCCCGGCTCCAAGGAGTCGGTTTTCTTGCGATCCGTGCGAGGGGTGCAGGGAATGAGAAATGGAATGACCCCCATACACTATCCCTTGCAGTCTCCTTGGGGATCAATTCCTGGGTTCATTCCATTTCTCATTCCCTGCCTATCGCACCAGCAAGTCTTTCCCCATCTCCGAAATCCCAAGTACTGTTCAAACACGCAGTTGCGGAAAGACTACCGGTAGTGAAGCCTTGCAAACATGGAAGGGTTTGGCAATCGTTTGTACCATGTGTTCCTTCTGTCGGCGCCAAAAACAACTGCCCAGTGAGGTCTGTAGTTCAAAGCACACCCTAGGAGAACGGATAGTCATCGCCACCTGCGTTGGTTTGGATTGGTCCGGCAGTGGTTTCCAACGGACCACACTGAGTATCATGTGCTGAAGGTGTGGTAAGCTGGCAAATATGCAGCCGTGGGTCTTGATCGGGGGCCGAATGGGCATCATTTATGTCCCAAACAAACTGCAGAGTCTTCCGACCGTGACCACCTATGTACCACTAGCATTAGCTTAGGCAGTACCACTTATGTGTATACAAACTTCAGGTCTCCAAAGCACCTTCAACATGCCCGGAAAAAAATCAAATAGGGCGAATGGGGATCTGGGTTGGAGCGCCAAATCTAATCATGATCAAGGACTGCAATGTTAGTGGCAATTTAGCCGCTCGAGAGATGTCGCAATCTTGGCCCCATATCTCCATTCTCCAACGACCTTTCGGCGTTTTCAGGCTGTGCTCAACAGGAAGCCACAGGGAAGACTACCATTTTAGGGGCCGCATGTTTGACACATACTCATATCGGCTTCTCAAAATAGGGGTCGCCCAAAACTGCACAGTTTCCTTTTGGTCTCCCTCCAAATCTGGGCTGGCCTCAGATCCACTGCCAAAAGTTTCACTTTTAGGTGGGTGAAGTGGAACCCCACCACTGAACCAACCAAGATTTTACAAAACCTAAGGAACCGGATGGCAGGGAACCACCAAGAAATAACCACCCAAAAGCATGCCGAGCTGCTGGAGGCTTCGAAGACACGGCCTGGAGTGCAGGTCACCTGGGAGGAGATTTGTGCCGAAGACACGCTGGTCGGGTCCGTTTTTTGGGGTTGGTTCCCCAAACAGAACGAATTTGGGCGGGGAAACCCAAACACACAAAAACAAAAAGGAAAACTGGTAAATCCCCTGAACAACCGGGACACACAACTTATCCTAGCTTGTGCCCAACCAAAACAAACGATTCATTCTGGCCCATGTTCAGTGAAGCTTAAGATGAAAAGCACAGTCAACAGTCCTTTTTCCCCTGAGCTGGTGCCCTGTTGGAGGTTGATTCACACCAAGCCACAGGAAACCTGGGAGTATTCCGCGGTTCATTTCTTGCTGACTTGATTGAAGTTTGTACCTGCCATGTTGGAGATTCACCAATTATAAGTGGAGACAACCCCATGCAGTCATTGAACAAGTTGGACTCCCTCCCGTAAGTAGAACTGGCCTCATTATTTTGTCATGATCAAGCTGTGGCGGGAACTGCCCGCCTTTCTTTGCACCGATTGCTGCAAACAAATGGCTGTGCCAGAAAATGCGTACCAAAAATGGAACCCTGGTAAATGGGACCAAAGACTAAAACCTGCGGTCCCTGGTGGTTGTATTTTGACCCATACCCAAATCAATGAGGTCCATTATGAAGTCCATTGGTCCATGGGGGCGGGGCCGGCAAATTGGCACACATTGGAAACCTCCTTCAATGCACGGTGGGTTTGTTGATTGTCTTGGTCTGCCTGATGCCATCCTCGCTTTCCCCCATGACCAGGAAATTAAAGGTGATCACTTAGACTCACAAGCTCCCATCTAACATAGACCTGCGCAGGCTTCTTCCCAAGCAGAAAAATAAGCCTTTTGCCGTCTGTGCACCCAGCCACGTGAGTCATGATCAAAACCTGGTATTAAAATGGCCTAGAACCATGCAAGGAATTGAAAAGGCGGATATCCGCACCCATCCATGGCAAGAAAACTCTAAGCTTCATCTTGAGTTTTGAGGACGTGGCTCACTTCTGTTGGACCACGATGGTTGCGAACACTTTGAGGTGAAAGGTCATGGCCAGAGTACTGTTGACTCCATATGAGTCAACCCCAGTTTATAAATTGGGGGGGTGGTTTTGGCCCCTCCAAAAGTGATACATTCTCACTAAACCCTAGCATCGGATTCCCCCCTATTAATAAACTGCTTGGTTGATGCAGATACTGTGGATGGACGAAATTCTGCACCAAATTGAAACTATGGAAAACCATTGTTCATTGCTATTTACAGGGAAATCATCATTCCGGGGTGTCTTAGGTGGTGCAGGATTTCGTCCATCCACAGTATGGGCTCAACAGTTCTTGGGCTCCCGGGCAGTGATGGCCTTGCGCTCTCCAGGCTGGAGCTCTTCCTCCACGAAAATTCTTTGGGCGGCCGCGGGCCAAAGGTCCCGGCAAATGAACCCAACAGGCCTGCTGATGTTCAAACCCCTCTCCCTCAAAAAAGTATGCCCCTTTGTGATGTTGGAAACCAGAAAAACCAAGGGGTATGAAGAAGGGGGTGCGTATTTCCAGCCTTTGTTTCCCTTCAAAACCTCCCCCCGCTCTGCTGTCCTTTTCATTTGAGCCGTGCCAAATACTCTTGTGTAAAAAGCGGTCCTATAAACTTGCTTTCGCGGACCCTTTCGCGATGCTTTCGCGACCCCATGTTTTGCTTTCGCGGGCTTTGGTTTCTTTAGAATTGCTTTCGCGACGCTTCCGCGGCGGACCGTCACACAGCATGCAGGCTTTCGCGGGTCTTTCGCGGCGGGACCTTCTTTGGTTGCTTTCGCGATAAGCTTTCGCAAGCTTTCGCGGCCTGCGTTTTGGCTTTCGCGGGGATTCTATAGGACACCCCCCTTTACTACTTTGTATTGTCAGGGTTTTTGGCGCTGCTCATTTGGAGAGTTTGAAAGCGATGCCATGGAGAGGTCTGAGGAATGGAGGGACTCGTTTAGAGGAAGACGATTTGAGTACACAAAGCGAGACAATGCCAGGTCAGAACCGTTTCCAGGTCAGCCGCCAAAACAACAAATGGCAGATGTAGTATCTTTCCACGACCATGCAAAATAGCTAAACATCTATATTCAATTGAGGGTAAAAGCGGCTAAGGGGTGGTACCAGCCCCAATGAACCTCTTTCTGGGGGTGCTGCTTGCCAGTGCGAGGGTAACTTGCTACGGAAAATGCGTTCTTCCCCACCCGTAAACGGAGATTTACAGGCATTAGTGGGAAAGAAAACCCCTTCTTTTATACGGGGTGTCTCCTGCGGTAAGCCTATTTGGCGGTTGGTTTCCTTGCTTCTCGTCAAAAGCTCGAGAATAATGGGCTGTCCTCAGATCCCCCTCGAAATGTTTAACTTTTAGTCGGCTAAATGGAAATACCCACCAAACACAAAAAAAGCTAAAGACCTAAGGAACCGCATGGAACCACCAAGAAAAAGCACCCAAATTGTAAACACCTCAGGATACCTCAGGGCCCACCTCCGGTGGTTCTTCGGCCGGATAAACCCATGAGGGCCTCGAGCATGCTGGGAGCCCAAACAGATAGCCGGCCTTGTGGCGAACACGCACCCAAAAGGAACCCTTGAGCTCATGAGCCAAACCAGCAGGAACACGATGGGTGAGCATGAGTCTTGGGATCTATCCCATCGCAATTTCAGGGTTGCCCCCTAAGTTGGAGCCGGTTCCAAACAACCTCTTCACATCCCAACCGTGTGGGTTGATCGATTCATGGCCGACCCGAATGCAAAGACATGGGCTCTGGAAGGCCAAAAGGCATTCAAAGCAATGGTCTTCTAGAAGCTGCCCAACCCCCCAAGCCCAACCCCCCACCCACCCCAACCCCCAGCCCGTTGGAACCCATTTGGGTGTGGCTCAGAATGAAACGATCGGAGGGGCAAACCGCAGGTGTTGGTCCATGTTTCCACTTACCAGGGTAAGCCATTTTGGAATTCCGGTTTTTTGAGCCACAGCCATTTCTCCCCTCTAAAGCAATGGTTGACTTCTAGGAGCTGCTCAACCCCAACCCCAAACCCCCACCCCAACCCCCAGCCCGTTGGAACCCATTTCTCCCCTCTCCGCGCTCTTAGCTCTCCGTTCTCTCCTTGGGCTGGTCGATCTGCAGCAGCTCCCGCAAGCCGCGGCGAATCGCCAGCTCATAGCCTCAGAGAGGTGCCGAGGAAGCTATCCTTGAGCCCACCTTCTTTGGGGGTCGTAACGAATTGTACCGTGGACGAAATCCTTCACCACTTGGAAACCATGAGAAGCCATTGTGTGTTGGTATTTACATGGGCATCATCATTCCGGGGTTTCGGCGCCACGCCCCTACCTCTCACTGCTCTAGCTTTTCTTTTCCGCTCGTGCCTCCAATCTTCCAGTCACCTGACGCTGACTAGCTCGGAAGGCCTAGAAATCTTGTGAGCCAAAGCCCTTTTGCTCTTGGATGTTTCAGATCCTCTGCATCCGCACCCAACAAATGTTTCCGCGGGCAGAAAAAAACAATCCGATCGAACATGGCTGTTGCACGCCGTAGCCACGGTGCCGCACAACAGAAACAAGAGCGTACCGATCAAACACCAAGTTGAAATCTCTGGGATCGCTCCACGGACCTTCCAGAAACTTGGGTCACAGAAAAAAGTGTTCTGCATCTTAGACTCTTAGAGTCTGTGTTGAAAAGTTCCAAGCCCACTGTAGTCAGCATGGGTCATGCTAAGATGTGTCACCCATGTGACTGAGAGCTTGTCAGCTTTCTTGGACAAGCCTAGCTCTTTCAAGCCAGGGCAAAGCTGACCAAAACCAAAATGGTCAAGGACCACCCGGACAACGCAGACATCGCAGTGCTAACATCTGAAACTGAGGTGGTGGTGCTCGGGCACTCAAATTCCCAAAAGGACATTGTTCCGGACCAAGCGCCTCCAACCATCACCCCGGCTTTTCCCGATGGAGAATGGGCTGCATCCAAGAAGATCATGGCTTCCGGATCAATTTCTCCTAGGCTGCGATCTGCATAGGCGACACCCGGATTCTTGGTCTCAGATGAAGGGGACAGCTGTTTCACGAAGAGAAGAGTGGGCGAATTGATGTTGGAGATGTCATAGACAAAGATTGTGCTTTGCTTCTCCGTAGCAGTAACTGCAAGAAGTGAGCCACAGGCTTTGCCAGCAACAATGGCTTCCGGCGCAGGCCCGTCCTTCTCAGATCGTTCATCAACTGTCTGTCCAAGAGGGCAAGCACCCGGCTTTCCATCACCCCCATCGTTGCATTCCTGAGCCATCTCTTCCAAAGTCCCGCGGATACCTGCATCTGTAGTCCAAAGGGTACCATTCACAGGTGAGAACTCTTCATCCTGGATGCCGTTGTGTGCCCACGGAAAATGTGCACATTGCTGAGTCTCAAATTCCGAGCCCGAATCCCAGGTCAGAGACAGATCACCGCCTGTGTGCTCGTAGATTGAAATGCCACGACCGCCAAACGCAACGATGTGCTGGATCTCGGGAGCAAGAGGATCGCTGTAGTCCACAGCGGTCGACCCAATGGTAATCCTCAGTCCATCCGTGGCAGTATGCACTGCTTGAGCCGCGCTTGCAGCAGCCGCTGTAATCGTCATGTTGATCATGTCCTTGTCTGGGGTTCCGTCAGACTCCACCACGTCCTTCAACTTCATCTTCTCCTCCCAGTCGCCATAGCTGACGTCGTCACCCTCATTGGCAGTGAGGAGGTAAGTCTTTCCATCCACCTCCACTGCCTGAATGGAGTCTGGTAGGCGAAGAGACTTCAGGCCAGCATACGTTGCAAGAGTGCAGGCTTGGTCTTTCTTGAGGTCAATAGGGATTGTGGTGTAGTCCTTCAATCCAAGACCAGTGATCTTTGTCAAAGATGGAGATCCTGTGGAGGGCACATTGATGATGGCAACGGCGTTGTTCTCCTGCAGGTTCACGAAAAGAGTGGAATCATCTCCGGACCACGCAAGATACTCAGGCTCCAGGTTCGTGGCAGCACTGTAGGAGGACCGAGCAGAAGCGAAGTCCACCGTACTGGCCACATAGGAATTGTCGTCCCAGTACACCATGGCATCATAAGACAAGGGCAAATGCACTCCGTTTTGAATCAGCTGGCTGTCCGTGTAGGAGTCGAAGGTCACTGTGTGCTTTACGACATTTGCCACGTTGCTCCAGTCGGAGCTCTCGAAAATCATGGCACTGCCTGCTGGGTCAGTAAGGCCGTTCTTATAGATGGCTTCACCTTCATTGGCAACCGCCAGCTTGGTGCAGTCGCTGTTGGGCAAAATCATATCTGGCAAAGGACCAGCTTCCAAATTCCCAATGCTAGTAGGAGCTGCAGGGGAGGAACGCTGGACAGTTGTCAAGATATGAACACGTCCATTGTCTGTCTTGGTAGACGCACCGGCACCAACAAAGATCACCCGCTTATCCGCACAGATCTCGATGTCTGTCAGTTTCTCGCCTTGGAAATCATACGCCAAGCTGGATTGCACGGCAGGATTACTGGGATCGTTCCAGTCGATGACATTCAGGACACCCTGCTCAGAGACGGCATATGCATACTTCTGCATGTGATCATATGCAATCTGCTCCGCAGCACCCATGCCAAAAGCCAAAGAAGTTGCCTCTGTGTCGTAGGGGATGTAGACACGAGAGACCATGGCAAAGCTGGATGGGGCAGAATAATCGGCCGCAGTGTCCATGGAGGGCGTACCGCCCAGTTGGCGAGGCCGTGCGGCCGCCAGAGCCAGAGTTGCCAAGAGAACCAGCATTGCGTCAGATGCACGGCTGTCCTTGAGCCAATCTCACTGGGCTGCCCTCAGATCCACTGCTAAAAGTGAATAACTTTTGGTGGGTGAAATGGAAACCCAACCACTAAACCAAACAAACACATAAAAACCTAAACAACCGAAGGAACCGGAAGACTGGTTTCTCCGGATCTGACATGAGGCGTTTTGCCACGAAAAGAGCGGCGCTGGGCGCGTGCTGGGCGCCGGGCGGACCGGGAAGCGGCCCCGGTTGAGGATCTCGAAAATGCGCTGAGCACCTCAGTCCCAAGCGCGGGATCGATCTAGTCCAGTTCTCGGACAAAACAGCCAGGAACCCCTGTTGGACAATGTTCTGCATTATTCATGCATATCGCTATCTAAGAGTAGTTATCCATCGAGTCTAGGGCCATACTCTCATAATCTAAACGGAAAGGCCCGGGAACAAAAGTGACCTTGGGTAATCTTGACCAAGTATGGACCAGATCAAGGAAACCGAAAGGTTAAAAGATCCAACGAGGGAAACACACCCCAACAGCCACTTCCATGGACCCAGTCAGAGTTTGGGTGTTACACTCAAATCCGAGAACAAACGTGGCCTCCCTTTTTATCCGAACATCACCCCGCCCAAAAAAAAGACGCATGTGAATCTGCCCCGGAAGGTGCTGTGCCAACAATGAGGTGTAAATGGCCAAGCGTGCTGTTCAGAAGGTCAAGCATGCTGTTCACATGGCAACACACGCTGCTTAAATCCGAAAACAAACATGACCACATGCGTTTGGTTCATGTGTCCATTTCGCAGGGCCCCCATTTTGGGAGTACCGGCTATGTTGGACCCACACGTGCTATGGATTTGTGAAAAACGGCCAGCAACTCTGAGCTCTGCACTGCTGTGCACCAGCACGGTGCCAAAGTCCAAGGGCACCTGGCAGGTAGGAGTCGCCACGCTCCAATCAAACATGACCTGGACATATGAGGTCAAGTTGCTTTTTGGGGACTTTTATATATTTTTTCAAAAAAAGTGGACCAATATTTGAAAAAATAGAAGGTCGGAAGCATAAGGCCATGTTTCTTTTTGGGCACCATTACTAAGAAAGAAGTGGACCACAATTCCAGGAAACCAAAAGGTCACAAGGTTGGCTTGCAAGTGAGCATGACTTATTGAAGATGGGGTCACTACCGGTCCGCTTCCACAGCCATCAGCTCGCAAACGCGAGCTATGGACCGAAACTTCCCTTGCCAAATTGCAACATGTCGTGAGCCCTTGAGCCGGTTGCTCAACAGTATACACCAAAGAAACATATGTTCAGATTATGCAGCAGACTTTTCAGACTTATATAGCCAACCTCAAACTATACTTATGATTTGAGAAGACCCTGGGTTGGGTTCACCGGGCAAGCACGGGTTGCCCAACTAAACCTTCTGTCCATGAGAGACCTTCAGTGGGAAGTCCCCGCATTTCTCTCAGGAAGTCGTCTGCCCATCTTGCTCCACGGCCACACTTCCTGATTCAAAGTTCGCCAAGTCCCACTGCACTCCTTCCCAGTGGATCCCAGCTGCCACTATAGCATAACCAACCATTCAGGCTTTTGGCTTTTAAAGGCAAGCCCTTGGTTACTATGCGGGTAAATGGATCCACTGGGTTTGTTTGCCACTAAACTTGGCTGGAATTAGGACCCCAGCAAAAAATATGTGTTTTGCCTGGTTAGTGGAAAACAAGGGGAACCCAAAAAAAGCAAAAAAGAAAAAAGGGGACTAATTCTGGGGAAGTAAAATGCTCCAAACCCATAAGGTGACGAAAGTCCATGACCACCCGGTTGGCCTCCCTAGGGTCGGGCTCAATGACCGCGTCCACCGCGAAGGATTCCGCGGCCACAGAGATCTTGGCCGCCTGATGCGGAGAATTTCGGCTGGGGGGGAACAATACACCCCAGTAACTTCATGTCGTGGGTTCCCTTCAAAAGCGTATCTCTAAAAATGGAATCGACATGGGTGTAGTTTTTCAGGCTCCCCCACAATATGGCCCCCCCACAAAAAAAACAACAACAACGCATCAACAAGTACCCGCAAAAAAAGACGCACCCATATCCTAAAAAATGGGGAAACAACTTGGTGGAAACAAAACATAAAAAAAAGGTTGACAAAGGGAGACCTATGGCCCATTCCAAAAACTAGTGGACCCCCTTTGGTATGTCAAGCCAAACGGACACCAACCATAGGGCGCCCTTTCACACAAACACACAAACTCACAAGGGGAGATGGGACAAGTTGGTGGGCCCCATGGTTTCTGTGGGAAATCTTGGAGCCCCCCATGTCATCTCCAAGCAAAACTGATGTTTTGTTCTGTGACTCCTGGTTGGCCTAATGGACAACCAGGCCAATTCGGATTCTACCCAGGTGGTTTTTGCGGGACTTCAGCAACTCTCCAACCCCCTACTAAACATGAACAGAACCACAAGGCTAAAACTTCAAAACATGCCAACAACAACGCTCCCCCAGTTTGTCCTAGACCAGTGATCTTGAGTGAACCACCTGTGGGTTTGTCTCTGAATGTCTCTGAAGAGCTGAAATGGACTTCGGTTTTCCTTCCGATTCCTTTGGCTTCCTATTTGCATCCCTGGTCTTCCCTTTCCTTTCTCAATCCTTTCCGTTTTTCAATTGCCCGAAGAACCCGAAAATACAAGGTTGACCTTTTGGGACCTTAAAAAAAGATGAACCAACATGGGAAAACTGAATGATCGAAAGGTTGGTTTTGGCCAACCCCGAAAAATCAAGGTAGGTAATGTATACCAACATTTTGACCCATTTGGAGGGTGGGAGTTCCCTTCCGTTTGATTTCCGTTTCACTCACTCGCCTGTTGCCAGCTGTTGAGGCCCTCCACGTCGCGGGACTCCAACTGAAGCCTCGGTGGAGTGTGTCCAATCAACCACTGAACAGGAACCCAACAAACGTGACCCGTTTGGGAGAAAAAAGGAAGCAAACATTTGAAAGGGTCTGACATGTGTATTTTGGCCAGAATAAAATAATATATAAATTTGATAAACATTAGGAGGTGTGTAGCTCGGAATATTAAGATTTAATATATATATATATATATACATATTATTTGGATGGTAACAACAATATTGGTATATTTTAGTGAATTTGACGGTTACATATTACCAAATATACAGTTGAAACATAATGATATAGAAGGTTATTATTTGTGGAGCTAGCTCGAAAAACACCGGAGAAGGATAGAAGTTGATCGGGTGAAATCAAAGGAGGCCAAGCGAACTGTCTAGATCTTTAGCATCGAATTTTGGGAGAAGCGTGGCTTAAGAGGAATCCTCTTCTTTTGGGTGTGGTCTTCACACTGAGGTCAGTGGGTTAGGGCGAGCTGCGACTCAAGTCGACACGCCTTTGCAAGTAGGATCGATGTTGTCTTTAAGAGGAAGCAACCCCAAAGCTGCGGGGGTTGTTTTGCAATCACGAAAGTGGGCAGGCTGTTCGAAGACCATCCTCTTCAAAAGGTCCCTTGAAAAAAGAGACGCGTCAATCAGGCTTTCGGGCTTTGGCCGAAGCCCCTCAATTGGCGGTGTGTGTAGTCTCGTGGACGAACATGACGTTCAGCAGCAACAAGGAGGGACATGTGTATACATATATATATATATATATTTGTACACACACACACACATGTGCGTATGTGTGTTTTCTTTCGAGGCACCTGTGTTTTCTTGTTGCTTTGGCTGGTTTCAAGGGAAACCAAAAGGAAAGACACCAACTGTTTGGCCGACCTATCTTGACACACTACCCATACGCGGAGCCCTGCAATTGACAGTCATGGCAAAGGCCTTCTGCAGGGATGTGATTCCCAAAGCAAAACCCTAAGCCCTAAGCGCCGAAGTATGCAGTGTCGCACTCACCAAAATCAGCAATCCAAAACCAAGGTGTGAAGACGGGAGTTCAAACCTGACACACAATGGTGAAAACAAAATTGCACGATTCCCCTTTATGTGAGTATGTGGATGACTGAACCCATTGGAGGAATCACACCATCTGCTTTCACCCAACTATATAGTAGCCCTACTTAGCTGCTTGCCGGAGTGTGCAAAGGGGTTGAGTGTGGCATGACAGGGTATCAACTGGGGGCCGCCTAGTGGCGAACGGCAAACCCCACAAATAGCTCTGGACCCTCAAACTACCCTCCAACATGGTGGACATCGCCCCATGTCAGGGCAATCTCCTATGGGAAGGTTCGCTTCGCTTGGTTGTTAAGCCAAAAAACAACAGCCCCTATAAAAGCCGGCCTCAGATCCCGATCCAAACCACCAAGGCTTCCAGCTGATTGTTTCTCAGATGCCCGGTGGCCATGGGAAAAAAGGGCATCCTGTTTCAGTTGGTTAAGTTTAAAGGGGGAAACTCCTTCCCAAAACAAGGGAAAGCAGGGCGCCACTGGGCAAAAGGGGTTTTACTTCAAACATCGGCATCGGCCTCGGCCGCGCATTCGAGGCCCCAGCGTGCTCTTGAACTGCGCTGCCCGCGCGGACTTGAAGCTGAACCGGATCTCGCGCTCCTCGCGCTCGCGCTTTTGGAGCCCGTGTCAGCGGCGCTCGTTGGCCACGCTCCGTACTCAAGAACAAGTTGCCCCTTCTTCTTTTTTTGGGGGGAGGGGGTGTCAAGTAATTACTTGTAAGGGGCGGTCAACCAGGTTTGGAGTTCAGCATTTGGGGGGGGGGGGGGGCGGGGGGGGGCCAACCATTTGTATGGTGCAGTCAACCATGTTTTGTTTCCCCATTTTTCGCTGGTCAACCAGTTTGTTTGAGGGCACTGTTGTTTGGGACCATTTTGGGTGTTGACCAGTTTTGGGGTTGACATTGTATGAATCACTTTCATTTGTTGTTGAGGATATGCACTAAACCAGGTCGTCATAATCAACACCTGGCATTAAAATGGTCTATATACCACAAAACAATGTGCAAAAGAAGAACGACGACTGCACCCAATTGTGGTTGGGAGTGACGCCTAGACTTTCTCTGCCCGTGTTGTGATTGTCGCTCACCTTTACCTGGTCGGTCTGTCTCAAATAGGGAGATATCAAACATGGAACTTGATTTTCTTTGGTGTCCCTAACCAAGCAACTTCCTAAAATGGAAAACAAATTAACATAGAGGATCCAGGTTCCACTAAGTCGGTGGATCAATATTGATACTTTCCTGGTTTTGGGCGCTCACCTTTCAATCCCACACAATGCATACAGGTAATATGTGTATATACATATATATATGTATGTATACACACCAACATTTGACAAATGGGTGTAAATGCGGGTAGATATTACATACATGGAGTGAGTCCTAATTCGAGTGTGCCCATGTTGGTGATTTTAAAAGGAAACCAAACGGACAACCGCCACTTTGGGGGCGTCCTAAAAAAGACACACCCACCAGGGAATGGATGTGAGGTTGCGTCAAACTTAAACCACCAGGGGACCGCTGATTTCAGTCCTTGTTTGCATTTGCCAGGGTTCCATTTTGGGTACTTTTTTTTTTGACCCACACCTACTGTGGGTGGACGAAATGCTGCACCACCTAAGAAACCCTGGAATGGTGAATCCCTTATAAAAGCCAACAAACGTTATGGTTTCAACCATGGTTTCAAATTGAGGGTTTCAACCATCCACAGTATGGGTGTGTCTAAGAATCAGGAACCCCTATGGATTTCGGCGGAAACCCTTTGGCTTCCCTTTGTATCCATCCCAAGAATGGTCCACACAAACAAAACACAAGGTTTCATCCTGCACCTAAGATCCCCCCCCTGTAAATCAAACCTGGTTTCAACCCTAGGTGTCAAATTGGCCGGGAGACCAAAACAGAACACGTCCACCCGTCACTCCATCGCCTCGCCTCCCCTCGCCCAATCCGCCCATCCGACGGTCGCCTCGTGGGGCGCCAGCTGGCCCTCCCGCGGCTCCACGCCGATCTCCGACGTGTGCTGAGCCTCGCCGCGCGGCTCGGTATGAACCCCGCGTGAGCGCGGTCCCGCGCGGCCCAAGAAGTGGGCGAGCGAAAGAATGCCGGAGGCTGGGTACAAGCAGAAATGTGTATACACATACAAAGGGAGACACACATGTATAGATAGGTGTTGTGTGGATATAAACCGACTATAAACCAACAAATATACAAATATACAAACCAACACATACATAAACAAACAAGTTTACATATTCTCAACAACACAATATACAATACACACACACACACGCACCAGAGCGTCCCTTTCAGAGAAAGCAAACAAGGAACCTCAGAAAAGGTTCCATGTTCTGGTTTGGGAGGATATTGTCTATACTATTGACCGCAGCAAATGCATTCATGGTGAAAGGTGGGCCCTTAGGGGCGCAGTGACCCTACATACATGATAAAAGCTGGTCCCATGACAAATCTATGCAGCTAGCTTACTATATGCCTTTGTCTGAAGAAAACTATGCAGGAAGCCTTGTAGAGGAAAAACAAAAACAATTTGCTTGGTGGGTGCGTTGCAATTTCTGAAAGTTTCAACGGCTCTCCAAACAAAACCAAGAGGCATGAGGCGCTTTTAGTTGTGTCGCATGGGCTAGCCTGCAATGATGATCGAATGTATTGACAATATGTCATGTGTATATATGCATGCATATACAAGAATACTATAATACACATATATATATATATAGTATTCTTGATATCCATAGCATATACAATACCTTTGATTGGATACGTACATAGTACATATGAAAAGATGTACCGCTATGCAATTCGCACAGTGTCGAATTGTGCATTATCAGGGTGCAACAGTTGAGCCTCTCCTTCTAGTTTGCCATGGTAGCGTGGTGGCAATAGTGCGTATCAGGCAATGGCAGGATCTGCTATGAAACGTGCATTTGTGTTTGGCACTCACCTTCACAGTATGTGTGGCGTCTCAACAGCCAATCAGGCTGATACATTTGAAATAATGTTGATGATGTTGATGATGATGATGAGCATGATGATGACGATGGTGATGGTGGTGAGGGTGATGGTGATGACGATGGTTGCAGTGACGGCGTGAAGATCATGAGGGTGATGATGGTGATGATGAGGATGACAAGGACGATGATGGATGCGTTGATGATGATATGTGGTTCATGCTTGCTTCAAGTCAATCTGGGGCATAAGGCATGGATATGCCTTGAGCTACACCCGGCGGCTGATTGAGAGGGAAACCTAGAGCGAAGCCACCCGACCGGACATAAGCTCTGTCCCGTGTCACGTGGTCAGGTCGAACATAAAGCAAAGCTAAGGACAAATGGCGCCTGAGTGCATCAGCATCCAGGGTTTCCTTCCACAGATTTGAAGGCTTTTGGACAGCCAGCCGCATTCTCTGGAGCATGAATTCAATTTTACTGGTTCAGGCAAACAAGTGCAAACATTCCGTATTCAAACACCTCACAGCTTTGGCAGCGCGCAAGCAACAAACGCCGTCGGCAGAGATGGGATTTATGTCCACCAACCATTGAGGGAGTTTCTCATTCAGATTCACGGCCAGCAGATGGTCCATGTGTAAAGGACAGGGGGAACTCTCTGATTTCCCCACCAAAAAACCAGAAGACTCTCTAATTGTCCCATGCCCAGTAGGATAATGATTCCCCAAAACAGCCACGGTCAACATTGCTATCATTTGCTATCCCGTAATCACGTTGACCGTGGCCCTTAACAGAACTCCCTCTGCCTCGGCCGCATCGCCCTCGTCTTCATTCGCAGCCTGCGAATGAAGTGGTGCGAATGAAGTGGGGCCAAGCGCACCGAACTCACTTGCCCAGAGGGCCCGGAAAGAAAAGGTCGGATTGGAACAAGTCGAGTACTTACAACATATTATTATATTATCTAAACATAACACTATGTTTGAAAACCTGACAAATGGTAAGGGACCTTCATCCTTCCATGAGCTCGAAAACTAGCCTGAGTCAACTCTCCCCTGGCAAATTTCGGCAATGGGCATTTGTGTGTGCAAACAAATATCTCTGTTCTCCCACAGGACTGCAGTACGGTCTCTTGGGATGTTGGAGACGGCATTAAGGCCTGGGCTTTTTGAGCGGCAAGTTGTAGCTTCCGGCAAACGTGAACTTTGCAGAAACAACCACCAAAAAAGGGCCAGCATGAAAAAAGTATGCACCCCTTCATGAAAAGTGTCAATGAGAACTCATTCCGTAGCTCATACCCATGGTTCACACAAGCCGTTGAAACGTCAGCGGCTCGTGGCTAGCTGCCCTGCCTTCGCTTTGTCCTTGTTCAGCTGCCAGCGTACTGCCCTGGGAGAAGAACCCACCCAAAACACCGGGCGCCGTTGGTTGTCGCCAGGCCACCCAAACAAGATGTGAGACGTAGGGAGAGCAACCGCTTTTACATGTTTGTTTGCGCATGCTGGGACAGTCTAAGCCTAGCCGAGCCAAAGTCGGGGCGGCTCACACCCCAAGTACCGACTGCTCCTAAGCCATCGTGGAATCCTCCAAACTGTCCGGTCTTTGCGAACCTGGAACACCATCCCATACCATTTCTAAGGAAGGTCACTGGCGTTTAACAAAAGAAGGGAACTTACAAATATAACTTGAACTCTCAAAAGGCAACTTTGCCAGCCCATGATAAATGAGCTTCTTCGAACACCATCGTCATTCGCTCAATAGTGTTGGCATATAGGCAAACAAGCAACTGCACTCACTCATCAAGGACGCAACCGCACGCACATGTCACTGAAATGCAGTGTGCGCCAAAACGCAAAGGACACACGCTGTTCGAGTTAAACCCTCTGTTTAGTGCGGGATAGAGTTAAACAGTGCGGAAGCAGCAGAAGAGGAAACAACTGAGTCTTGCCAATCTTCCGGCATGAGCAGATCGGCAAACAGGCCTTTTGTCGTCACTTCTTTCAAGTTGTGGGAGCGTATGTGCCAACTCTTAATTCTTCATTGCTGAATTAACCCATGTCAGACTTCGCAGAGCCAAAATAGGCAACCAGCAGGCACTGCAAGGGCTCGCTGCATATGAAACAAGAGAAACAGTTAAATCACCCTCTAAAAGGAAGATGAGCTGAGCTCTTGGAAACAAATATGCGTATGTCTTTTTCAGGGGACCCCAAAATTGATGCGGTTTCATTTTGGTTTCCCTCAAAAACATATTTACCCCCATATGTTCTGGACACAGAGTTCTCGAGCGTTGAGCCCCCTACACAGCGCTCTCATTCTTGATGCGCACCTCAGCATGTGAGAGAGCTCTCTGGCATCTGGGTGCTGATTCTGTATCAAAACATGCAGCATACCTTCAAGTCATATGGCTGTGGGTCAAAAATAGGTGCCCCCCAAAAATAATAATAATAAATAGTAAGTGGGAAACATGGACCAAAACCTGCGGTCCCCTGTGGTTTAATTTTGCCCCATACCCAAATCTAGTCAATCTGGTTATAAGAGTTGGCTGGGCACGAAGCGATCACAGCGAGAGAAGAAATAACACGGATTGCCAGAGAAAAACACAATGTGTGCGAAGGCATTTTTAACATGGTCATGCATGTGTAGCTTCAGGGTATTTTCCACACGCCTACAAGACTGCAAAGAAGGATCTCCTCCGTTCCACAACGAGGTCTTCGCGCAAAAATGCGGCAGCCAAGCAATGCCTACTATGGGTGTATGGGGCTTCTGTTGAGGGTGGATGGTGCAAGACAAATCAGCTGGAAAAACCCTGTTTTGTAGGTCCCACAATTTCAACACATACCCATGTTTGGAGAAGCTAAGGGGAGGCAAACTCCTTTCAAGTTTGATCTACTTTTGGACACGCTCATCATGTGGTCTGCTTTATTCTTAATCAGCCAAAGGACTTGGAACAACAGATTCACCAAGGTGGTAACCTTGTGGACAAAGGAAATAACAGGCAACCATCAGGGCGAAAAGCTGCTTCTCTTTGAGCAAGTAAATCCACTGCCGGCCTTGCCCAGCGTATCCAAGCTCCCGTCTCAAACCAATCTCTTCATACCGGTCCGAAGGTCCCTAGCCACAGGTGACCTTTTGAAAAACGGATGGGTTTCCCTGGTAAATGGGGCACTTGCCCCCATCTACGTCTTACCAAAATAAACCTCAAGAGGCAGCGGATGTTCTGAGAATCGGCGCAAACGCGGGAACAATGCAACTGAACCATCCAACTGGATCCCAACTGCGTATGAGTCAAAATGAAGCCACCAGGGGACCACGGGTTTTCGTCTTTGTTTACATTTACCAGGGTTCCAGTCAAAGTACCTATTTTTGACCCACACCCAACTGGTGGCTTATGCCTCCAGACCTCACAACTGGTGGCTTATGGTGCCTAGGCCCAGTTGTAGAATGCATATTTCATGGTCTGCTTCACTTTGAGTCACTGGTCACATGCGAAATGTATCCCTCAGTCCACCCCAGTCAAGACCTCAGCCTCGCCACAGCCACCGCCTCCGCCGAACCGCCCAACCCCACGCCGGTCCGGGCGTGCGGCCCGCTGGTCCTCCGCGCGGATGTTCATCATGAGCCGCCCGAAGTCCACCTGAAATTGGACGTCCCCGCCGCGTAGCGCGCGGGTCGCTTCGTCTACCTCCGTTTGCTGCAGCCCCGTGGAAGAAAAACATCCAGTAGTGATAGACCCCCTTTAAAACCAAGAGGGAATTTAAGCAAATGGAAGGTGTAAGGGGGGGCCCTGGCCAAAAGACGACTGTGCTGTTGTCTGTCGGTTTTTCCTCCAAAGCCACAAAAAGGGTACCCTCAGAAAAAGTACAGGAGCATATGAGGGTCCGTCGTAAAGTAAGGTGCCCACCGAAAAAAAAAATGTGAGTTTCCTTTTGGCCTCACTTTTAAAACCACTCCAATCCGAGGCATCCTCGAAAAAGGCACACCCATGGGAAACAGAAAGAGGGTCCCAAGTTAAGGAAGTTAAACTCAGGCGTTCCTGTTTTAAAGTACTCCGGTTTCCCGTTAAAACCAACCAAAAAGGGGGTACCGCCCAAAAAAACGACACCCACTTGCTCGCTGCATTTTGCTCCAATGGCCAGCCCAGATGAGTCTCCCCGATAATGGAAGCCATAGGACGAATGGTTTATGTTCTTGGAGTCATTCCATTTCTCTTTTTCCTGTTGAGACAAAGCAAGTCTTAGTTCCCTCTTGGGCTGCCTTTCCTAAAAGAAACTGAATCCAAAGGAGGGTGACGATGTAAACAAAAACACAACATCGTTCCGGCCGCAGCGACCGAGCCCGGGTGTTGAGAATGCACCGATTGGGGATTCCCTTAAATAGGACATCATAGGATGGATGGTTCTGCTTGGGGTCATTCCTGTTTTGCATCTGCCTATCGAACCGATCGCAAGTAAAGTGGCTGGCCTGGAAGCACTGGGCAGCTTTCCTTCAAAACCTTTTCCACACCCAAACTACTCTCAGTTGCCCAAAGAACCTGGAAATGAAAGGTTAACCTTTTTGGCCCCCAAGGACTCAATATTAAACATGGACCGAAACCAGAAGACCAGGTTGAAAGGTAAAAAATATGCTTTTTGGGCAAGTGAGTACCCCAAGAAAACCACCCTAGGTCCTCCATTTGCTCAAGTCCCCTGGAGAAAAAAAAAAGTTCAGTGGTAGTAGATTCCCTTTAAAATCAAAAGGGGAAAATACAGCATATTCCTAAGCAAATGAAAGAATGGACCCAACGCCAGCTGCACCAACGGACCCAACCGTCGCTGATGTCGACTCGGATTTCGCGGCCTCCTCGCGGTCCACGGAGATCGCCGGCGCCTCGCCCAGGGCGGAGAGGTAGAAGGCCACCTGAGCCGTGCGGATTGAGCCATGAGGTCGACCCTCTCGCTCCATGTTTGCTTGCGCTCCAGATCCCCCGAACACATTTTATGGGGGAAACAAAAACAGATTCCCCAATCCTAATCAAAAGCCGGTACTAAAATGGTCGACCCAGAACCATGCTTCAAGAACTAAGAAGGCGGCTCTCCGCAGCTATTGGTTGGGATTGTCCCTTACTAACCTGCATCTACCCGGGTTTTGATTGTGGCTCACCTGAGCCGAGCCATGAAGTCGACCCCCTCTTCATGTTTGCTTACGCCCCCCTGGAAACGAATTGCGGAAACAATCCAGATCCCCCGAACAAAAATGGGGAGAAAAAAGGATTTCCCGCAAA